GCTGTTTCTGGATAGGAGGCTTGGTGTGTCTGGCTTAAATTTTTTAAAGTTAAAAAAAGTTTATGAGCTGGGGGGTTATAGTTCTACTGGTGGTAGAGTGCTCGCCTAGCATGCTTGAGGCCCTGGATTCAATCTCTAGCACCACAAAACCAAAATTATTTCCAGATTATGTAATTGAATTATACTTACTGAAAATTAAATAAGCCACTTGAAGAGTGGAGATTGGGAGGATTGTGGTTTGACACCAGCCTGGGGCAAAAAGTTAGTAAGACTCCATGTCACTAGCAAGCTGGGTATGGAGGCTCATGTCTGTAATCCCAGCTATATGGAGGGCATAGGTAGGAGGATCAAGGTTTTAGGCTGGCCTGGGCAAAAAGTGTGAGACCCTATCTGAAAAATAACTAAAGCAAAAAGGGCTGGGGCATGGCTCAAGTGGTAGAGCACTTACTTAGCAAGAGGGAGGCCCTGGGTTCAAACCCCAGAACCACCCCCCACCAATTCATAAAAAAGGGAAAACATTAAGAAATTAAAATTACTTATAATTCTTTCAAATAGAGATAATTAACATTAACATTTTAGAAAACATCCTAATTACTTTTCTCTATATTTGTATTTTTAGTTTATGATTGTAAACATGAGATCATACAATTTCATAGCTCACCTGTCTCACCAATTACATATTTGCTTACAGCCAAATCTTTGCACACTGCCCCAGCAGGCAAATTGGGTTTACAATATGTGTGTGTGTGTGTTTAAATTAGGAACACATGAGACTAAGGAAGGCCACCATGGCCAAGGTCATCAGGAATCACCATACTAAGAATGAAATGCTTATCATTATCTATAACGAACTGGCCATTAGGTGCCTAAAGATTCCTGACCAGGCTCCACTATCCAGGGAGCATTTTTCCATGCAGACTAATACCCGTCTTGGGCACTGACTCCAATGACTGGCAATTCCCAGTCAGGAATTTTATATGAATAGAATCATACAATATGCAGTATTTTGGATTACATACTAGGGTTGCTGAGTGTCATCACAAATTGTGGTGTGTTTCAACCAGTTCATTTCTTTTAATTGTTGTCCCTTTTTTTTTCCAGTACTGGAGTTTGAACTCAGGGCCTTGCACTTGCTAGTGAGGCACTCTTCCAGCCCTTAATTGCTGTCTTAATTGAAGAAACTGAAATGTTTCTCTTTTAGGAATCCCTAAGTTTTAATTTAACATAATTTTATGTCCTAGAAGGTTCATCATATTTAGAGTTGATATTTTCTTTTCTTTTTTTAAAAAATGTTAATTGGTTAAAGTCAGTATCATTTTTAAGCAGGATTTTTCTTTTCTTTACAAAGGCAACCAATACTCTACAATTTTCAGGCAATGTCTGAGAAAATTCTAGAACAACAAGTCTATGGACAGCTCTTTGAGTCTGGGTAATGGAACTTGACTTGCACCGTCCTGGCTATGCCTTCTGTTAGATGCCTTGGCATTCTGTCCCTTATCTTATAAACACAGTCCCTGTTGCAGCTTGCCTGTCAAAGCTGGATATCTTTGAACTTTTATTTTTCCAACTTCAGTATTTGAAATTATTTTTTATAAATTTAATGGTTCACATCTTATGAAATGGAAACTTAGTTTACCCTGTAACTTCTTTTTCTTTTAAACTTTTTTAGTTTTGTTGTTGTGGTCCTGGGGTTTGAACCCAGGACCTCAGGCTCACTATGCAGGTACTCTACCACTTGAGCCGCTCTGCCAGCCCAAAAAATGCGCCTGGAAGAGTGTAGATCTGAGTTTAACTTTTGGTTCTTTTTGGCAGCACTGGGGTTTGAACTCAGGGCCCCACACTTGCTAGGCAGCCTTGTACCACTTGAGCCACTGTGCCAGCTCAACTTTTTAGTTTGTGGCATTCTTTTTCAGTCTTTGTCATTGTTTGCAATATAGAGTTGATATTTTTGCAATAAAATTTAGAGGTGGTGAAGGAGCTAAGTTAAAAATGTGATTAAGTAATAGCACTTATTTTTCATAAAGGTCACCTAGATATATGCAAAGTCCAATTATAGCTTTTATTTTGGGGGGAGATAATCATGTAATTATAAAGTAAATTCTGGACAAAATTCAAGAGGCTTGATGTTTTCTTGGCCCATGTAGTCTTATCGTGGGATAATAACACTTCTATTAGGGTTAGGATTCTCAATATCTAAGTTGCAGCCTGCTGATTTGAAATCTCCTTACCATTTTGGATGGAAAGGTACCTAAATAATAATAATAATAAATCCTCTTCTTGGGCACCAGTGGTTCACACCTGTAATCCTAGCTACTTGGGAGTCTGAGATCAGGAGGATCATGGTTTGAGTCCAGCCCTGGGAAACAGTTTGTAAGGCCCCATGCAGATCAAACTGCATTGAAGGTGTGGTTCAAGAAGTAGAGTGCCTGCTTTGCAAGCGTGAAGACCCGAGTGCAAATCCCAGTCCCATGAAAAAAAAAATTCTGCTGAATTTAATTCAGTTATCTATAAACATCATAACTTTTTCTGTTTTAAATCTGCACACATATGACACAATAAGAAAAGCATGAGCACAAATCTTTTTGGCTTATCCCCTTTAGGGAGCATATGTTAAATTACCAGTCTTGGCAGGACCTGTCTCTCTTTTTTTAAACCATTAACACCTTGGCCACAGGAGGAACCAAATGTAGTGTTCCCAGGCCTTTTCAGTGACAGTTATTAAGAGCAGATGAATGCTGTGAAATTCTAAATGTCAGCACTAAGAAGCTCATTCAAGTATTTCTATCACAGTTGGCCAGGAAAGGCCATGAAAGAGCGATGACTGCTTCGAAGAACACACTGGTATGGCATCAGTCTGAGTTCTCTGCTGCTGGAGTACCAGAATTCTGTGGAAGTAACAGCTGAAAACCTAACATATTTAAGGGATTAAATATGGGCAATAACATAGCCCACAGAAATCCTCTATTTCAGTCCATGGAAGAAAAGGCTTGGAAAATACCATGTACACAATTATATGTTAATAGGAATATTGACTGTTTATTGGAAACCTATCAGGCCTGGTTCTAAGTCTTTTACATTTATCATCTCATTTAACAGGAAATCAGTCTCATGAGGTAGAGATAATTATTGTCATTTTGTAGATGAAGAAAGTCTTAAAATGTTACCCAATGTGTTTTATTCCAAATCAACACTTAATAATATTATGCCTTATAATGCACTTTGCTAAAACCACAGTGATCACTGAACTCGATGATTTTTTTTTTTTTTAACCACAAGCCCTGGTGCTGAATGCTTAAGTGTCTATGGTCCTCAAGTGTTTTTGTTCTAACTAGGAGAGCTGGACTACTGAGTGGACAGTGGGTTGTTACTGCAACAAGAATTAACTAAAAAACAACATGATAATAAGATATGTAATCCCTGTTAACCAAGACATAGGGGACTAGAAACAACTAGTGAGGTATTTGTTGTTGTTGTTTGTTTTTGTGGTATGGGGGTTTGAATTCAGGGTCTTGTGCATGTCAGGCAAGCTCTTTTCTCACTGAGTTATATTCCTCAGCCTTTTTTACATTTTACTTTTTAATTTATTTTTTTGAGACAGGGTCTCACCATGTAGCCCAGGCTAGCCTGGAACTCAAGATCCTCCTGCCTCTGCCTCCCAAAAAGGGTTGGGGTAGAAAAAAAAGAAAAGAAAAAAAAGGGTTGAGGTGTGGCTCAAGTGGTAAACACCTGCCTATTGAGGCCCAGAATTTACTCTCCAGTACCCCCACACACACACACACACAAAGTCTATAGGTATGTAGTGAACAGAGCACCAGTAGCTCACACCTGTAATCTTAGCTACTTGGGAGGCTGATATACAAAATAATGAAAACAAAATGGGTGGGAGGTGTAGCTCAAGTGGTAGAGTGCCTGCTTTGGAAGCACAAAGCCTTGAGTTCAAACCCTATACCAAAAAAAAAAAAAGAAAAGCAAAGAAAAAAAAGGGTATGTAGTGGAGCTTCTTTTGAAGTGTGTATTGAAGGGAAGGGAGAGGATCAACAGGAATCAGAGGATTCTGAAGAATTTGGGATAGACGAAAAAGGGTAAAAGACTCTCTTTTCTCAAAAAAAATCATATTCACTATTTTTACAAATTAAGTATACTAAATCTTGTGGGTTAAAATGTTTATAGAGTATCTTCCTTTACCTTGTCAGCTGGCAAAAAAGAATTCTAGAAGAATGTTGGCTCAATGCTTCCAGAGATGTACAAGGAGATGCAGAATTTCAGGCTTAAAAGTAGGAATTTTAGGTTCAAATTATGGCTCTATCACTTAATAGTATGTGATTTAAGACAAACCACTTAATTTCTCTAGACCTGATTGTCTCAGCCTTAAAATAGGGCAAGAACACCTGCCTCACTGTTACTCGTCAAGGATAAATTAAGCTAATGTTTGAGAATGTGTTCTGTAAACTATCAAGTACTGCACAGTTCCATTTGCACAGGTAATGTCAAAATTGGACACATCAGTTGGTCTGCTCCTTGGCATTCGCTATCTGACTAAATGCCCACAATGTGCCAAGCACCATGATGAGCTGAGGTTGCCCAGAGTTCCTGTTCTAGCTGGGTGGAGAGATACACTTATACCATGTTCTTATGAGAATACTCTAGGCAAGGTGATACACTTAAAAAATTAAAAACAATTTATTGTGTAAATTGAAATCGTGAAGAGATTTAAAGTCATTCATACAGTGGTCAAACTCACAGAGGCAGAAGGCAGAATGACGGTTACCAGGGCATGGGAGGAGGGGAAATGCAGTATTACTGTTTAACAGGTGTAGGATTCCAGTGGGAGAAGATGAAAAGTTGTAGAGATAGTTGTACAACAAGGTCAGTGTACTTACTGGCATGACCTGCAACTTGAAAATGGCTAAAATGGTAAAATTTATTTACATATATTTTATCATGAGTATAAGAAAAGAATTTAAAGTCAATCAGAGCAAATTCTTAATATTTGTACTCACAAAGGAGCAATATCCAGATGGTTGATGCTAAATCCAGAAGAGCAAAAGTTGTCGATATGGTTAGGAATGCAACAGCCAAAGGATAATCACAGCCTATAAATCTAGCGGCTACCAGGAATATCGCAGGTCCAATCATGCCTGGAGTCAACCGGTTACAAAGAAAAAGAAGATCTAGCATTAGCATTTGTTCCACCTTAAAAGAGTAAAATGAAATTTGAAATTGCTGCCACCTACTGTAGAATCACTGAACTGCCTTTTCTAGTGAAAGAAGACTTTCACTAGAAAACCTGGCTCAATTGAGTGGTAGATTGCCTGCCTAGCAAGTGCAAAGTTCAAACCTTAGTACTACCACCAGAACAATAATAAAGATAACAACACCAGAGGAGGCGGGGGTGGGGGTGGGCGGGGGGAGGAATAAAGGAGAATGATGGAGCAGGTGAGCTCAACTATGATACACTGTAAGAACTTTTGTACATGTCAAAATGTACCCCCTCCCAGCACAACAACAAAACAAAACAAACAAAAAAACCCCCACCAAAACCAAGTTTGAGTATATTATACCTAATGTAGTAGTACAAAGAAAACCTCATAATGCCTGTGACCAGGACTCAGCTAAAGGTCTCCAGTGTTAGAGAAGATACAAAAGTAAACAACCAAAATTATGGTTGTAGAGAGAAGCAACAGCTGACACAGCATATGCTTAAAATTCATATACCAAAGTAGATCAATTAAATAATACATTCTGTTGGATGAGTTAGGTAAGTGATCCATCTTAGTTCTAACAGCTGATAACACTATGCACAGGACATTACAGGCAGTTAAGCATGGTAGACAAGTTAACAGCCGCCAGTTTTTCCTGGTGAGTCTACAGCCGTGCCACCCAGTAACTATGTAATGGAAATGTTGTATTTCTATATGCTACAAAAAAGAACTTATTTTAGTTAGTAAATATTTTTGAAATTCAGTGTGTATTCCTTCAAAAAAAGGCTTAAAATGTTTCCATTCAAACTTAATAGTTGAAAACATAGTCAATGACAACCCAGGCAAAAAGTGAGAAACACTACCTTCCTCCCCCCCAAAAAGAAAACAAAGTGATTTATAAAACTCTGGGGATATTGTTGAGCAGAGCAAGCCACTTTTTTTGTTACAAAGTGGAAATAACAGGGTATTAAAAATCTTTTTCCAGAGTCAGCACTGAAGAAGGATATTATAAGTCTTCATCTCAAAATGCATGGTTCAAAAAGGACTATATTGTACAGAAATGCACTAATCCATCCTAGTGTTTTAATATGTAAACAAAATAAATGACTAACATCATCATTTCTATTTTGCCTTGCACTGTTGTGATATTGAGATATAAGAAGAAATTATGTATTTGGTCTCAGTCTCTGGTTCTTGGCACACAGCTCCTAAGATCCTTGGAATCTCTGGAATGATAAAATTGTCTTTTGTTTGTTAACAAAATGACTGGTGACACTGGGACAGTGCCAGATGGCTTTAATGCAGCCCAGACTGGCCTTGAAGTCATGGTCTTCCTACTTCAGCCTCCTGAGGGCTGGGATGCTGGGATTACAGGTGTGTACCACTATGTTCCACTCTGTTTTTTTTTTCTTTTTTCTTTTTTCTGAGATGGAGTCCCACTATGTTATCCAGGCTAGCCTCAAACTTCTGGGCTCAAGTAGTCCTCTCACCTTAGCCTCTCCAGTATTTGGAATTTGGGACTATAGGTGTGTACCATCATGGCTGGCCCTGGTTACCTTCCGGATGGGCACTGGTCACCAGATAACCAATGCATGATGAGAAATGTGGGGTTTAGCTCTACTCTCTAATCTCTGGGGAAGGGAAGGGGCTGAAGGTTGGGTTGATCACAATGGCCAGTTACTTCATCACGTCTGCATGATGAGGTCTCCACAGAAACTCAAAAGGATAAGGACTGGGCAGATGTGGTGGTGCATGCCTATTATCCCAGCACTTGAAACACAGAAACAGAAGCAGGAGGATTGCTAGTTCAAGCCAGCCTGGGAAAAGCAGGGAGACCCTGTCTCAAAAAAAAAACCCAACACCCAAGAAGTTTTGGACGTGCTTCCAAGCAGCAGAACATGTGGAGGTTACTGGAGGGAGGTGCGCCTGGGGAGAGCATGGAAGCCCCATGCTCCTTCCAACATACTCACCCTGAGCATCTCTTCCACCTGGCCATTCCTCTGCAGCCTCTGGAATAGCCTTTGTAATACATGAGCAAACACAAATACAGTGTTTCCCTGAGTTCTGTGAGCTACTTGAACAAAGTACTTGAACCTGAGGTAGGTCATGACCCCAAGTTATAGTCAGTCAGTGAACAGTACAGGCCAGAACCTGGGACTTGTGACTGGCATCTCAAGTGGGCAGGGGCAGCCTTGTGTGATTTATCCTCAGCTTGCAGTACATATACCAACACATCTCCAGGAAGACAGTGGAGAAACTGAATTATAGCACAGCACATCCAGCTGGTGTCTATTGCAGAACCAGATGTGTGTGTGGAAAAGTCTCCACACACATTGCAACTAGAGAAGTGTTTTTGGTGTTGTATATTGTATGAGTATGTGAGAGTAGGAAAACTTTTTTTTCTTATCTTTAGTAACTATAAACCAAAGCAGAACTTGATTCACTTCACTTACCTATAATGGTAAAAATTCTGCATACACTTAGAGCTGAAAAATTCCATTTTACCCTTAAATTGTCAGCTGCTTTACCAGACAGGATCATACATAACCAACAGCCAAAATAAGGCAATGCAGATACAAACCCATTCTGGAAGGAATAAGAGACACAGGATTAACTATGGTAGAAGGAAAACACATACACACACACACACTACTACCATTTGAAAACAAAAGAAAAACAGGAATATTCTGTTAATGGTTATAGAATTATAGGAAATAATTTTGCATTTGAAAAGATTATGGGATTCAGTTTAACACAGCCTCCAAGGAGCTGTCTCAGAGGGAAACCAGGTTCATCACAGTCCTGTCTGCTTAACATAATCTTGGCTGTTAGTCTGAACTTGTGCTGTGGGAGAAGACAAGTCTTCCTGTTAACCTATGGATTCTCTCTATGGAACACTTTGTCCTCAATCTTTACTTACTTATTTTAAAATATTTTTTACTATAAAATACAATTCATACACAGAAAGCCACACAAGTTAAATAAATGGATACCTTAGCGGATTATTCTAAGGACCATCTAGATCAAAAAATAGCCAGCATCCTGGAGAGCTTTTCATTGTCCTAGTCCAATGACACCCTCTTCCTTTCTCCATAAGTAAGAATCATCCTGGTCACACATGCTCACATTTGTCTATGGTTGCATCACCCAAGGTGCAACCCTAGATACTGTAGTTTGGTCTTAACTAAACTATAGTTGAGTTTTAGTTATTTAATAATTTTTGATGTGTCTTTTATGTCTCTTTTAATCTATACATCCCTTCAATTCCTTTTTTCTTATAATTTTATTAAAGAACCTAGGTCATATTTTATTTATTTTTAAAAGATCAGTGCCAAGTAAAACTATAGTTCAAAGAAATTATCTGAAAGGTGAAAATCTGCTGGGTGCCTATGGCTCACTTCTGTAACCCTAGCTACTCAGGAGGAAGAGATCAGGAGGATCATAGTTCAAAGACAGCTGGGCAAATAATTGGAGAAAAAAACCCTTCACAAAAAGGGGCTGGTGGAGTGACTCAAGGTGTAGGCCCTGAGTTCAAACCCCAGTATTGCAAAAAAAAAAAGTAAGTCCATTTTATGTTTATACACACACACGCACACACACACACACACACACACACACACACACACACACACTCCCTCCCTCCAGAGCTTGGGAATATTTCTTGATTTTTGTTTTTTTTCTTCAACGGAGAGAGTGAACGCAGTCCCCTACTACCACAAATTATGAAGTCAAGTTTCCCACATTTGGGGAAATCACAGGGGTCAGCACATCTGGAGTGCAATGGATAAGCCTCACCCTGGGAAAACCACCTTCGTGATCATGGTATCTCCCCTGCCAGGTAAGTATTCTTGGTGTTTTTTATTCCTCCTATTTTGCCTTTCCTCACCAGGCATTGTCGCTCTCTTTCTCTTCTCTCTCTCTCTCTCTCTCTCTTTTTCGTTATTTGTGCCAGTGGCTCACGCCTGTAATCCTAGCTACTCAGGAGTCAGAGATCAGGAGGTTCAAAGCCAGCCCAGGCAAATAGTTCACCAGACCCTATCTCGAAAACGAACTGTAGGAGTAGCTCAAGCGGTAGAGCACCTCTTTTCCAAGTGTGAAACCTAGAATTCAAACACCAGTCCCACCAAAAACAACAAAAAACCCAACAGCCCAAGAAACAAAAAAAGAGATGTCTATAAAATTTAATAAGCACAGTAAAACAGAAGATATAAAATGACTGAATTTCATCTAGAAGAAAACAAATTCTATGTATAAAGTATATGTATATATATATTCTACATAAGAAGCAGATGGTTATTTTTCTTACCTCTTGAACATTGAATCTTAGGATATCCTTCATGTAAGTAGGCAATAATGTCAATAAAGTATAAAAAGTCCAGTTGTAAGAAAAATGTGCAACCTCTATAGCCCAAGGTGGCAATGATTTTAAAATAGGTTTCCGTGGTACTGACTTCTGGGAAGAAAGCTGAGGAAACAGACAAACTTAGGATAAGCAACAGCTGTGCTAATGCTTTGCTCTCTACCTTATTAGCTAAAGCTCAACCTAGACCAGCCTCAACTATCAGCCTTGACTAGCAAATTCCAGAATTTAAAATCAACTCCTTTGAAATATTAAATAGCAAAATACATGATAAATGTTCCATTTAAAAATACTAGCTAGAGATGATTAGAATTAAGAGGAAAGAATGGAAATGTAATCTTAGAGTGACAATGTTAATCCTAAGCACTTCTCATAAATACTGCCTTCAGCATTAATTTCTCTATAAAATGGAGAATGGTTTCATAATTATGGCCTAAGGTTGAGTCTATAACAATTCATATTTCTTTCTTTCTTTCTTTCTTTTTTGCAGTATTGGGGTTTGAACTCAGGGCCTCACATTTGCTAGGCAGGCACTCTATCCCTTGAGCCACTCTGTTAGCCTTTGATTGTATTGGGTGCTTTCGAGATAGGGTCTCCCAAACTCTTTGCTGGATAGGCTTCAAACCACAATCCTCCCAATCTCTGCCTCCAGAGTAGCTAGGATTACAGGTGTGAGTCACTGGCACCCAGCCTACAAATCATACTTCTTTATTCAACCTTGGTTTAACTGAAATGATTTATATGAATTAGTACATCTATGCACCTAGCTACTTGGGAGGCTGAGGGAGGAAGATCACTTAAGCCCAGACTTGGAGACCAATCCAGGCAATATAGCAAGGCCCTGTTTCAAAAAGAAAAGAAAAGAAAAGAAAAAAGAAAAAGAAGATCTGTGCAACAGAGGGCTTCATATACCACCATGTGGAGAAGTGATCTTCAAAGTAGGGTAGAAGCATCCCAGGGGAATGCAAGATGATCCACTGAGGTGGGGAAAGACACATTAGAGTTTCTGTTTATACTCATTTTTATTGTAAAGGAAGAAATTAAGCCCATCTATACTTAGTAAATAGGTTGGCCCTGAAATAGATCAGATGATCACCCACAGTATAATTTCCCCAATTCAGAGGGCTTAGCAATGGCATTCTCACTTTTTTGTCTGCCCTCAGTGTATTATGGCACAACTTGAGATCACAGTTTATACCTGTGTACTTAGGTCGACTTAGGGATTTTTAAGCCAGTTTTAATTAAAACAACTCTCACAAAATTGACAGGGTCTTCAAAAGATTCCTGCGGAGCAACAGTCAATAGAAGAGAATTCTAGTAATATACAACACAATGAACACCTAAGAAAAATACCAGAGCTGCCATTTTTCCTCAGGAGTGCTTTGTTAGCTACTCTGGATCATCAAATATAGCATATTCACACACACTGGTCTCATCAGACATTAGTATGTTAACAAATTGTTATCATTTGTAAGTAACAGCAAAAGGGGCTTCCATTAAAATTTAGGTAAATATTATTTATGTCATGTATTTTGTACATACTTCATGATGTAAATAAGTACAGTAGTACATTTGGATAATGTGTGGATGGCAGACACTGGTCTGGGACATCAGAATTTTAAATTTTCTTTAAACTGAGGCTCTGGTTCCTTTCTCAAAAGCAAGAGAAGTCTATGTCTGCCTCCAGGGTTCAATGCTATTTCAAAAGAGATGAACTGGTATTAACTTTTTTTATTTTATTTAAAAAACTTTTTTCTTTTATTCATATGTGCATAAAATGTTTGGATCATTTCTCCCCCCTTAACCCACCCCCTCCCTTACCCTCCCACCGCCTCTCTTACCCCCCCCACCCCCTCCCTCTCCCCACAACCCCCTCGCTACCAGGCAGAAACTATTTTGCTCTTATCTCTAAATTTGTTGAAGAGAGAGTATAAGCAATAATAGGAAGGACCAAGGGTTTTTGCTAGTTGAGATAAGGATAGCTACACAGGGAGTTGACTTGCATTGCTTTCCTGTACATGTGTGTTACCTTCTAAGTTAATTCTTCTCAAACTAACCTTTTCTCTAGTTCCTGGTTCCCTTCCCCTATTGGCCTCTGTCGCTTTAAAGTATCTGCATTGGTTTCTCTGTGTTGAGGACAACAAATGCTATCTAGTTTTTTAGATGTCTTACCTATCCTCATACCTTCCTTGTATGCTCTCGTTTCATCATGTGATCAAAGTCCAATCCCCTTGTTGTGTTTGCCCTTGATCTAATGTATGCATATGAAGGAGAATATATGATTTTTGGTCTTTTGGGCCAGGCTAACCTCACTCAGAATGATGTTCTCCAGTTCCATCTATTTACTTTCAAATGATAAGATTTCATTCTTTTTCATGGCTGCATAAAATTCCATTGTGTATAAATACCACATTTTCTTAATCCATTCGTCAGTAGTGGGGCATCTTGGCTGTTTCCATAACTTGGCTATTGTGAATAGTGCTGCAAAAAACATGGGTGTGCAAGTGCCTCTGGAGTAACCTGTGTCACATTCTTTTGGTTACATCCCCAAGAGGGGTATTGCTGGAGCATATGGTAAGATCTATGTTTAGATTTTTAAGAAGCCTCCAAATTTTTGCCACAGTGGTTGTACCAGTTTACATTCCCTTATGCCCACATCCTTGCCAACACCTGTTGTTAGTGGTGTTGCTAATGATGGCTATTCTAATAGGGGTGAGGTGGAATCTTAGTGTAGTTTTAATTTGCATTTTCTTTATGGCTAGAGATGGTGAGCATTTTTTTATGTGTTTTTTGGCCATTTGAATTTCTTCTTTTGAGAAAGTTCTGTTTAGTTCACTTGCTCATTTCTTCAGTGGTTCATTAATTTTGGGAGAATTTAGTTTTTTGAGTTCCCTATATATTCTGGTTATTAGTCCTTTGTCTGATGTGCAGCTGGCAAATATTTTCTCCCACTCTGTGGGTGGTCTCCTCAGTTTAGAGACCATTTCTTTTGTTGAGCAGAAGCTTCTTAGTTTTATGAAGTCCCATTTATCTATGCTATCTCTTAGTCGCTGAGCTTCTGGGGTTTCATTGAGAAAGTCCTTGCCTATACCTATTAGTTCCAAAGTATGTCCTACTCTTTCCTGTACCGACTTTAGAGTTTCTGTTAGGCAGTTTTCCTTCCTTTTCTATTTCGTGGAACAGTTTAAAGTGGGTTGGTATCCATTCTTCTTTAAAGGTCTGATAGAATTCAGCCAAGAATCCATCAGGTCCTGGACTTTTCTTTTTGGGGAGGCTCTTGATTGCTGCTTCAATTTCATTTTGTGTTATAGATCTATTCAGATGATTAATGTCCTCTTGGTTCAGTTCTGGATGATCATAAGTATCTAGAAATCTGTCCATTTCTTCAAGATTTTCAAATTTATTTGAATATAGGTTCTCAAAGTAGTCTGTGATGATTTCCTGGACTTCCCTGGTGTTTGTTGTTATCTCCCCTTTTGCATTCCTGATTTTACTGATTTGGGTTTTTTCTCTCCTCGTTTTAGTCAGGTTTGCCAGGGGGTCTGTCGATCTTGTTTATTTTTTCAAAGAACCAACTTTTTGTTTTTTTAATTCTTTTTATGGTATTTTCGGTTTCTATCTCATTGATTTCAGCTCTTATTTTTATTATTTCTCTCATTGTATTTGTTTTGGGATTTGCTTCTTCTTGTTTTTCTAGGGGTTTGAGATGTAACATTATGTCATTGATTTGAGATCTTTCAGTTTTTTTAATATATGCACTCATGGCTATAAACTTTCCTCTCAGGACTGCCTTTGCTGTGTCCCATAGGTTCTGGTAGGTTGTGTTTTCATTTTCATTGACTTCCAGGAACCTTTTAATTTCCTCTTTTATTTCATCAATGACCCATTGTTCATTAAGCAATGAGTTATTCAGTTTCCAGCTGTTTGCATGCTTTTTGTCTTTATTTTTGTTGTTGAGTTCTAGTTTTATTGCATTGTGATCAGATAGAATGCATGGTATAATTTCTATTTTCTTATATTTGCTGAGGCTTGCTTTGTGCCCTAGTATATGATCTACTTTGGAGAAGGTTCCATGGGCTGCTGAGAAGAATGTATATTGTGTAGAATTTGGATGAAATGTTCTGTAGATATCAAGTAGGTCCATTTGATCTATGGTATGTTTTAGATCTTGGATTTTTTTATTGACTTTTTGATGGATGATAGTGGAGTGTTAAAGTCTCCCCGGACCACTGTGTTGGAGTTCATATATGCTTTTAGGTCCTTCAGGGTATGTTTGATGAAATTGGCTGCGTTGACATTGGGTGCATATAGGTTGATAATTGTTATTTCCTTTTGGTCTATTTCCCCTTTTGTTAGTATGGAATGTCCTCCTTTATCTCATTTGATCAATGTAGGTTTGAAGTCTACTTTGTCAGAGAAAAGTATTGCTACTCCCATCTGTTTTGGAGGGCCATTGGCTTGGTAAATTTTCTTCTGGCCTTCATCCTAAGCCTATGCTTATTTCTATCGATTAGATGGGTCTCCTATAAGCAACAAATTGTTGGATCTTCCTTTTTAATCCAGTTTGTCAAACGGTGCCTTTTGATGGGGGAATTAAGTCCGTTAACATTAAGAGTTAGTATTGATAGGTATGTGGTGATTCCTGTCATTTTATTATCTTAGTTTTTTGAGGGTTGATTGTGTGTAGATAAGTTGATGTTACTCTCTACTCTCTTGCCTTTTCTTATCCTGTGGTTTGGTATGGCTTGCCCTTTCATGGTTATGGTTGTTTTCATTTTCTGTGTGCAGAATCCTTTGAAGAATCTTTTGTTGTGGTGGCTTGGTAGTCATATATTGTCTTAGTTTCTGCTTATCATGGAAGACTTTTATTGATCCATCTATTTTGAATGATAGTTTTGCTGCATAGAGTATCCTGGGGTTTTAGTTATTTTCATTCAGTGCCTGGAAGAGCTCAACTCAAGCTCTTCTTGCTTTTAATGTCTCTGTTGAGAAGTCTGCTGTGATTTTGATGTGTTTACCTTTGTATGTTATTTAGTTTTTCTCTCTTACAGCCCTCAATATTCTTTCTCTAGTCTCTGTACTTGTTGTTTTAATGATAATATGTCGTGGGGTAGTTCTATTTTGGTCGGGTCTGTTTGGAGTTCTGGAAGCCCCCTGTACCTGTATGGGCATAGTTTTCTCTAGATTTGGGAAATTTTCTGTAATTATTTTGTTGAATATATTACACATTCCTTTTGTTTGCACCTCTTCTCCTTCATTCAATGCCCATGATTCTCAGGTTTAGTCTTTTGATGGAGTCAGTAAGTTCTTGCATTTTCTTTTCACAGGTCTTGAGTTGTTTAATAGTTCTTTGGTTTTTCTTTTAATTACCATTTCATCTTCATGTTCTGAGATTCTGTCTTCTGTTTGTTCTATTCTGCTGGATTGGACTTCCATTTTGCTTTGCATTGCTGTTTCATTCTTTTTTCTGAGGTTTTCCATATCCTGAGTCTCTTCCTCTTTAATATTTTCTATTTTCACCCTGAGTTCATTTATCTCTTTATTGTGTTCTTTGTTTCACTTTGGTGGTTATACAGTGCTTCTATTGTTTCTTTTATTTCTTCTTGTGCTTTATCAAATTCTGCATTTTTTTTGTCTTAGAATTTCTTGAGTGTCTCCTGTACATTTTGGTTGACCATATCCAGTATCATCTCTATAAAATTCTCATTGATTACTTGCAGGATTTCTTCTTTCAGAGTGCTCTTGTGGCCTTCATTGGGTTCTTTGGCATAGTTTATCTTGTTTTGTTGGAGTCTGGATCTGGGTATCTGATTTCTTCATTTACCTCTGGTTCCTGTACTAATTTATTATTGGGGGGAAAATGGTTTCCCTTTTTTTTCTGTCTTCCCATAATTGCCCTTGCTACTGTTATTGTCCCTATACTGTGTGTAATTCAGTATTCTTTAGCTTGTAATAATAACAATGGTGATATCTAGAATGGAAAGGTGAGAGGAGAGGGAAAGCAAAGATGGTAAAGAAAAAGGGAAAACAAAACAAAACAAACAAAAAACCCCAACCAAACAGACAAACGAACAAACAACAAAAAAAAACAGAGCCAAAGAAATAAACAGGGAGAGATAGTATACTAATCAACGGTAAGCTAAACAGCCATTAGAGATACAGAAAGAGGATAATAATAAAAAATTTTTAAAAATCCATAAGTTCAAATGCAATAAAGTTTCAGTCTTAATAATTTTGGTGTTAGTCCTTCAGCAATCCAGTCCTAAAGACTTCTCAGTGTCTGAGAAGTAGTTCTGTCATTTTCTTATCAAAGGGGATAAAAGAAAAAAGAAAAAAAATTCCAAGTTCAAATGCAATACAATTTCAGTTAGTCCTTCAGCAACTGGTGGTGTTGTTTCATCAAAGGAAGAAATTTAAAAAAAAGCAGTCTGGAGACAGGTTTGTGAATGTCTACCTGAGGCTGTGGCTCACCTGCCTCCTACTGTCAGCCATCTGCTGCTGCGGGCTTTGTTTATTTAGAGTTCTCCTGGACACATGCCCCTTTTGTTTTCTCCAGTATGCAGCTCTGCCTGCCTGTTACAATCGCAGTCTGTTTTTTTCTTTTATTTAGACTTCGCATGGGGAGTGCCCCTCCCCCACTCTCCCATGGAGCGTGCCACACTTTAGCTGCTGTTGCAAGCCTTCCCCTCTCCAAGCACACTGGGGGAGGTGGCACCACAGCCACCTACTCTGGCCAGCATGTTTATTTACAGTTCACTGGAAAGTACCCCTCCCCACTCTCCAGTGGAACCCTCCTCAGGACAGTCACTGTTACAAGCTTTCCCACTCTAAGGCTGCTGGGCAGGTGCCGCCACTCCTGGCTTCTCTGGCCGGCTTGTTTATCTACAGTTCCATGAGGGAGTGCCCCTCCCCCACTCTCTGGAGCTCAGGGTGCCCCGCCGTCTTTGCTACATTTCTCTTTTTTTTTTTCAGCTACTTGTTCATTATTCAGCTTATTTTTTTCTCTTTTTTCCCTGGGTGGGGGTCAGTCTGTCCAGGGGGGCTATGCTGATCTGGCCCAGGGTTGTCTGTGGGAGTACCGCGTACCACTTAGTTCACCTGGTGGTCTGCTTCTCACAAGCAGGTTAGGCGCTGGTGTCTGGTGGCACGGGAGCCCTCCTGGTTTCTCCGTTTAATGTGGAGTGGGGATGCTATGTACGGGCTGGGGGTGTGGAGGTGTTGGAGTTTTGCCTCTTCTTGGTGGGTGGTTTTTCCTTCAAAGTGTATCTCCAGCATCTCTCCAAGATTTTACTTTAGGAAGCATGTTTTCTTGCTTCCTCCCTCTAGTCGCCATCTTGGAATCTCTCTTCCAGTATTAACTTTTTTGTGACCTTTTTACTAGGGATTTCTTTTTTTTTTTTGGTCTTTTGTTGTTTTTGCATTAGGGACTTTTTATTTGGCATGTTGACCTGTCAATGTGTAACAAAGGTGCAAGGGACACAGGGAATAGTGCATTTGCTCTTTTGCAGCAATAGTTCTGGTTCCACCTGTCCTTCACACTACCTCTCTCATGTTACAATTACAGGGGCTTGTACTCTACTCCAGACCTACTAAATAAACAGAACACAACCAAGGCAAACAAATGACAAAAAGTCTGCCAAGGAATTGAAATTTTACTTTTAGATGATTCTATAGAGCACTGGCTCCTATACTTTGCTGCAGGCAATCACCAGGGAAGCTTTAAAAATTCTGAGGCCAGCATCATACTTGACCAACTTAATACTTTGTGGGTAGATGAGAGGTAAGCATCTATGTTTTAAAGATCCCTAGGTAGGGATAGGGCTGTAGTTAAGTGGTAGAGTACTCCCCTAGCTTGCATGAGGCCTCTGGGTTGGATCCCCAGAACTGCAAAATAAATAAACAAAATAAAACAAAACACAGATATAAAAACACTGGTTGCTTCTCTGTTTTTTTATAGTACTAGGGTTTGAACTCAGGGCTTTATGTTTGCTACACAGGCACTCCACTACCTGAGCCACTCTATCAATCCCTGAAATTAAAAAAAATGTACCAAATTTTAAAATAAATAAAATCCATACCTGATTTTTTAATGATGAAAGAATGTATCGTTTTTCATAATGGGAGATTGTTTTGTGAGTTTCTGGTGTATCACTAACCAGCCAGATCCATAAAATAAACCAAAGTATTCCAATTATACCTTAAAATAGAAAAATAATAGTTAAGTAAATTTAGAATGTATCAACAGCAATTTTTACATGACTTGAAAGAAAACTTAACTGTAAATTCAATGTAAAATGAGTTTCAATTTCAAGTTTCAATTCTTTAATGTGTAATTCCTAAACATTTTGAGAAAACAGCTTTTACCCACATGGCTCTGTCTATCAGGATCTACCAGACAAGTTTTTTTGGGGGACAGGGTCTTGTTGTACAGTCTCAGTCTCTTCAGTGCTGGGATCGTAGTCATGGACCACCAGACAAATCTTTTTGAAAATAAATTTCTACAATCTATATATTTCCATAAGTGTCTACTTTGTTTATTTGTTTTGATATCTCCTGACTTAGTAGTCAAATTTTTTTCAGTACAGGGGGAATTGAACTCAGGGTCTTGCACATGCTAGGCAAGCACTTTACCATTTGAGTCATGCTCCTGCTGTTATTTTGATGGTAGATGTATTTCCTGCATGAAATGTCTACGTGAAAATCTAATTTGTTCAGAATGTATCTTATCTTGCCAATGAATCTGAGAAATGTCCTCAGACTAAAATAAGGGCCAAGCATGAGCATCCCACCTGCTTTGATGAGAAGAAATATTTTCCAACACACATTTTTTTTATAGTACCCAACACAGTAACTTTTGGTAGTGTGGCATTTAATTCCAGAATTCAACAGCAGCTTCTACTAAGAAATAGTCTAAAACTAACATCAGGTGATAACTCAGGTAGATCCTTTTAACTATAGCAAATTGAAAAGCAGGTGTCAGTGATTTAGAACTTTGTGGTTTAGGAGATGATTACTTCAGCAAGTTGGAATAATGTATATATTTTAACTGATGATTAGACATATGTATATATGTCTTATTATATATTAAAATATATTAACTGATTATTACAGTTTGGATTTGTTATGCTATAAAACTTAGGTTCAAATTTTAACTTACCAAAAAAGTAGAAGACATAAGTCCAATTCACGTAGTAGCAAATGAGTCCAGAAAGAGGAAGTGAAATTACTGTTCCAAGCTGTGCTCCTAGAATAACACATAAGACTATAAATTTTCCAGAAAGATGAAAAAGAAGGGACAGGCATATTGCTTAAAAAGGATAGGGAGCAGCTGATAAAAGAATTACTATGAAAACCCATGACCAGGAGGTGTGGCTGAAGCAATAGAACACCTGCCTAGAAAGAACTACTAAGATCTGAAGGAGAACTAGGCACCAGTGGCTCATGCCTGCAATCCTAGTTACTCAGGAGGCAGAGATCAGGAGGATCACAGTTCAAAGCCAGCACGGGAAAATAGTTGGTGAGACCTGTCTCAAAAAATTCCATCACAAAAAAGGGTTGGTGGAGTGGCTCAAGGTGTAGGCCCTGAGTTCAAGCCCCAGTACAGAAAAAAGAAAAGAAAAAAAATCTAAAGGAGTCACATTAGTCATATGTAAATATAAACACTTCTCCACTCTCTTAGTGGATCATTTTCTAGAAAACTGACAATATATAAACATCTATACATTAATGTAGTTACACCTTTGTAACTGACAGCTGTATTGATGGATCAGAAGGAGTCAATCAATAGGAAGATTCATGACAGTATGATATACCATTGGGGTGTGCTGGTGAATACTTGTAATGCTAGTGCTCAGGAGGCTGATGTAGGAGGATTGTAAATTCTGGGGCAACCTGGGACCCTGTCTCAAAAAAACCCAAAAATACGAGCTGGGCTCTGGTGGCTCATGACTGTAATGCTAAGCTGAGGTTTGAGGCCAGCCCCGGCAAATAGTTTGCAAGACCCTATCTCCAAAATAACCAGAGCAAAATTAAAGCGTTGCTCAAGTAGTATATTGCCTGCTTTGTAAGCATGAAGCCCTAAGTTAAAATCCCAGTCACTCACACACGCACACATGCACACACACGATATAGTAAACCACCCATGTGTTGGAAACTCGAGTGTCTGGGGAAAGGTTCAAAAATGTTCCGTAGGGCTAATAAGAAACTTGTTGAAATAAAAGTAAAGCTTTTTAGTTGCCTCGGAGTAGCACAAACAATTGTTTGATCCTGTCTCTCACTTGTAAAAACCTTTAATGTGATGCAGGCCTGGTGGCATTTGCCTGTAATGACACTTGGAACACTAAGGCAGGAGGATCATGAGTTCAACACCAGCCTGGGCTACACTGTAAGACCTACTCTCAAAAAAAAAAATCACGAACAAAAATCATATGTTCTCCCTCATATGTGGACACTAGATCAAGGGCAAACACAACAAGGGGACTGGACTTTGAGCACATGATAAAAATGAGAGCACACAAGGGAGGGGTGAGGATAGGTAAGACACCTAAAAAACTAGATAGCATTTGTTGCCCTTAACGCAGAGAAACTAAAGCAGATACCTTAAAAGCAACTGAGGCCAATAGGAGAAGGGGACCAGGAACTAGAGAAAAGGTTAGATCAAAAAGAATTAACCTAGAAGGTAACACACACGCACAGGAAATTAATGTGAGTCAACTCCCTGTTTGGCTATCCTTATCTCAACCAGCAAAAACACTTGTTCCTTCCTATTATTGCTTATATTCTCTCTTCAACAAAATTAGAGATAAGGGCAAAATAGTTTCTGCTGGGTATTGAGGGGGTGGGGGGGAGAGAGGGGGGGTGGAGTGGGTGGTAAGGGAGGGGGTGGGGGCAGGGGAGAGAAATGACCCAAGCCTTGTATGCACATATAAATAATAAAACAATAAAAATAAAAAAAAATCATGAACAAAAGAAAAAAACACCAGCACCAAAAACCAAATAACTAAAGAAATAAAAACATACAAAAACAAAAGCAACCCCACCCCTAACTCTCCTAAAACAAAAATAAAAACAAACACCAGCAGAGATCAGAAGCCAACCTGGGCAAATAGACCCTATCTGGAAAATACTCAAGGCAAAAAAGGACTGGTGAGTGGCTCAAGTGGTAAAGTGCCTGCCTAGCAAGTATGAGGTGCTAAGCTCAAACCCCAGTACTGCCAAAGAAACAAAAATATCCCAAACCCTCTATGTTTCCCCATTGTATTTGGGATTGGGGGGGGGGGTGAATGAAATCATCATCCCTTCCCATGGCCTGTAGGGTCTGATATGGCCTGGCTCTTGTCTATATCTCTAGCCTTATCTTATGCTATTAGCCTGTTTATTCACTATCTTCTAACCACCCTCAGTGCTTTTTCATTTCTTTGAACTCTTATATTATTTCCTTCCTAAGAGTCCTTGTACATGCTGTTCTTATTGGTTGGAATGTTCTTTTTTCTGCTCTTTGCATGCCTGGTTTGTTCTTATTGTTCAGATTTTAACCTAAAAGTCACCTAGACAGGTCTTGGTCAACCACTGTATTTAAAATTAGTCAGGTGGAGCCAGGCATAGTGGTTTATGCCTATAATCCAGCACTCAAGAGGCTGAGAAAGTAGGATTTCGAGATGAAGGCAAGCCAGGCTACATAGTGAGTTTCAGCTGGGCTACAACAGCTAGAGTCTGTCTCAAAAAAAGACCCAAAATAAAACAAACAAAAATCCAGGTGGAAATTTTTCCATTCACTTAGTGCAAGAAGAGCTAGAGGTTCTTATGTTATTTGGTAAAATTATAATTCACATACAGAAAGCTCATGTTATCTTACTTAAGCTCAAAGTGATGACAAATAAATGCATAGAAAAAAATTCATGAAGAGAAGGATTGAGAGTCGTGATATGTTCATTATACAATCAAATTAGAAACCACAATTAAAGGACAAAATTTCTCAATTTTCCTGCTACTGGTCTTCTTTTTTTCTTCTTTTAATAGCATTCTATGCCATTTAAAAAGACAGCACACTTTGAAATAAATGATGGTAGATGGGTAAAATGATATTAGTTAACCAAGACACATTACTGTATATTTGAGGGGTAATAAAGTTATACCCCTCAAAAGTTTATTTTCCCCCAAAAGAGTCATCCAGTGTTGTACGATCCTGGCATGTAGGCACTTACTTTTCTCCCCACATTAGTGTACACACAATGCACTGTAGCAAAAATTTAATATAATGGTTATCTTACTCGCATATGAAATGCTGAGAAGTGTGCTTCTTTCAAGAGGAGGAGCCCAAGGAGACCACATGGCATGCATAGCTGGAAATGTAACACCCTGGGAGGGGTGTGGAAAATATTTCTGATGAAATACAGGGTAGTTTTGCTAATGCTTAAAATTGGGTATTTTGTTAGGAAAGAAATTCCTGGATAAGAACCAAACCAGAATCAAATTCTAGCAAGTGAGATGTCTTTACAGTGTTAAATTAGTGTCAGTGTTAAGTGAAAACACCTTAGAATGAAACACTTTCAAAATCTGGATAAAGGTTCATGGACTTGTGGACTGGTTTGGGGACTATAAGGTAAGGGAAGGGTTACAATAAATCTGAAAGAATGTCCTGGGTGATGACACACAGGGATCACTCTCAAGGTTAATTTTATTCATTCTCTTTGTTAGTGATCTGGATGAAATGGGACTATTACCACTTTGTAATTTTTAAAAATACTGAGCTAATACTTTGGGATACTGGAGGATATTAAAATTAAATCAACAGGAAAAATGGTCCTTTTAGAAAAAAATGAATTCAATGAGAGTGTTCATAGTCCTTTCCTCCTAGTGATAATGAGCTCAGTAAATGCCAATTTCTGATATGGAGAGGTAATGGAACACGGACACCAGGAGGCCCATGGACACTTGGCAGAGCAGGAGATACACAAGAGAGGAAGAGAGAATGGGTTTTGGTAGATTCACGCATCAACAAATTCACACTTCTTGGCCACTCCCTAGCTGTATAACCTTAGAAAGACTAGCCGACCATCTTTCTTTTAATTGTTTGTACATTTATTCATATGTGCATACCTTGTTTGGGCCATCTCTCCCTAGTCAACCATCTAGAACTTCAGTTTCTTCAACTGTAAAAAAAGGGATAATGTTCTCTATCTTGCCTAACTATTATAAAGATAAAAGGTAGTTAGAATTATTACTAGCAGAGCTAAAACATGCTTTAATAATTTCTGCTGATTCTTTCAGAACAAAAAGGAATGGAGAAGTACCATGGGAGGCAGAGCTGATGTACGCTATCTATCCCCTGAGTAGTAATGCAAAAAGTATGCTGTAATGTTCAATTAGTTCCATAAACAGACAGGAAGCCAAAGTATGAGAATATATTAAGGAGATTTATTACTTGTTTTAAAGTTTTTTTGTGTTTTTGTTTTTCCTTGCAGTGCTGGATATTGAACCCAGGGCCTTGTACAAGCTAGGCAACCACTCCACCATGGAGCTACAGCCCAAGGTGAGATTGGCTACTTAGATCAAAGAAAATATACTATAAATAAATATATTTTATTTAGGTAAGAAAAAGGATAACCTAGTAATAGAGATAATTTTTATTTTGTAACGAAGAAGGGTTTAGTTATTAGACTACTATAATCTTACATCATTATGTAAAGGCCTGGCACAGGTGGCTCATACCTGTAATCCTAGCTATTCAGGAGGCAGAGATAAGGAGGATCATGGTTCAAAGCCAGCCCAGGCAAGTAATTCATTAGACTCTAACTTGAAAATATTCAACACAAAAAAGGGCTGGCAGAGTGGTTCAAGTGGTGCAGCATCTGCCTAGCAAGTGTGAGGTCCTGAGTTCAAACTCCAGTACCACAAAAAAATTATTGTAAAGATAAAAACAGAATTATTAGTACTAATAGAAAAATGAGATGCAAAGATGATAAGGATAAAATAACACTCTGATAAATTACACAACTTTAAACAGTACTTGGAGATTTTCAAAGTACTTTAGCAACCTTTCTCCTATATAAGCTTTATATTTATCCTGTGACTGAGTATGGGGAGGTATTTTGGTCACAATTGTTTTTCTTTTTTGGCAGTACTGGGGATCACACCTAGGGCCTTGTGTATGCTAGGCAAATGCTCTACCACAGAGCTACAGTCCCAGCATTTTTTAATTTTTATTTTGAGACAGAGTCTAATTAGCTGCCCAGGCCAGCCTTGAACTCATTATGTAGTTCAGGCAGGTCTCAACTTTTGACCCTCCCACCTTAGCCTCCCAAGTAGCTGGCAATACAGACATGCTCCACCATGCCTAGATTTAATCCCAATTTTTACAATGATGGAAATGAGGATTAGAGGTTAGCTCTTACTCAAGGTTTTACTGTTAGATACAGTGGAGCTATTACTCCAACTCTGATTTTTCTGACACTATTTCAGAGTTCTTTCCAACACGAATCATACAGTGCTACCTAACATAACCTTCATGCTCCCTGCATGCCACTATTGTGTTTAAGTTAAAGAAATGCAAGACAGCACAATAAATCTATGCCTAGGTTTCAAAGGTAGATGTTCAAAGTTACAAAGGAAAAGAAATCATTATTTAAAGATGGAGGTATACAAAAGAGAAGTGGGAGGAAAAGAAAGATAGGAATTAAGAGTTGCTTAAGTGGGGCTTAGGGTATAGTTCAGAGGTAGAATGCATATTTAGTATTCTTAAGGCCCTAGGTATGATCCCTGCATCAAAACCAAAACAAACAAAAATAATTAAAAATGATCTATAGACATCTTAGGAGAGAAAAAGAGATGAAAATTAATAATAACAATTCTTACAGCAGAAAAGTCCAGAAGAATCATAGAACTAAATTGGGATAGTTATATAAAATCATAAATGATTTGTCTCTGTAAGTTAGAGGATCAGAAACAAGAAAAGAACAAATGATAAAGAGGAAGTTCCATGAATGACAACTAATTTAAAAGTAAAATAAAGCAATTCAACAACAAACTGTGTAAAGTGTGGTAAAATCAAATGGTTTATTTTCTCATCTCCTAAAGTATGAGCTATAGTCTCCCATGGAAAGTGTTTTCTCCAATCTTGAGTGTAGCTTCTAACTTTGGGGTGCTTCCACTTAGATGAGATGAGATGGCTTTATCTCAGGTTCTTTTCTAGCTAAATGTTGTTATAACTTGTTATTCAATGGTAATTTTGGTTCATATACACACCACAGACTGATGGTTTTAAGAAGAGGAGAACAAAAATATCAGGTAAAAAGTAAAACAAGAGACAAAAACTTTACCTCTCCTAGTCCTTCCAGTGCTGTAAGTACAATGAGAGCTATGACTCCCAGATCTGCAGCAATGGGCATGAACAGGGTGAAGACAGCAGTGCCGAGGATCCCAAACCCAAGGAGCAGTTTCCCACCTACTTTGCTGGCCATATATCCTCCAGGGATCTGTGTGATGATGTAGCCATAAGAAAAAGAACAAAGTATCCATCCTCAAGTTCCTGCATTCCCAGTGATACCTTTTACCCTGTAAAATGCAGGAAGAAAAAAAAATCTTTTAAGAGCTTGATTAAACAGTTCCTTTCTCTTACTGGCATGTAAGTACATATAAATGAAACGGTGAACTACGGTTGTGGATTGCAGTATATGCAAACATCTTAGTAGGTATGTGAGTCACTGCCATACAGATGTGCAGTTTTCTAGAAGTGAGTGGAAAAGAACTGAAAGTCATCAGCCAGGTGCAGTGGCTCGTGCCTATGGAAAGCAGATTATTGAGAGGATCACAGTTAGAGATCAAGCAGGGCAAAAGTTCACAAGACCCCATATCAACTCATGGATGGGCAAGGTAGTATGCATCTGTCATCCCAGCCAGGCAGGGAAGCACAAATAAGAGGGATTGTGGTGCAGGTCTGCCTGAGCATTAAACAAGACCTCATCTCAAAAACAACCAACAGAAACAAAACCTCAAACCAAAAAAGGGCTGAATGTGTGGCTCAAGTGGGAAAAACAACCAGCAGACACTGGTGGCTCACACCTGGAATCCTACCTACTCCAAGGTAGAAATCTGGAGGATCATGGTTTGAAGCCAGACCCAGGCAAATAGTTCTCGGGACCCTATGTTTAAAATACCCAACACAAAACAGGGCTGGCAGAGTGGCTCAAGTGGCAGAGTGCCTGCCTAGTAAGTGTGGGGCCCTGAGTTCAACCCTACAGTACTGCCAAAAAAAAAAAAAATAATTGAAAGTCATAAACTTCAAAAAGGCTTGCTATTTTATGAAACTAGACTAGAGGCTAAGCTATGGTGGCTTTGTAACAGCTCTGACCAAGAACACTCAAAAAAGAACCATGGGCTTAATCTAGGAAGCTATTAAACCAAGCTTTAAAGAAAGGCCTCGGTTTAACCCTATCTCTGTCACTTACTGAGTGTGTAATGTAGGAAGAAATAAATACAATAAGGTCTGATACACAGTGAGTATTCACTTAATGTTGGATGTTAGCATGCACAAATATACATAATACCTCCCCATTTCAGACCAACCACTTGAACAAGCACATGGGACACTTTATAGCAAGGATTTAAACTCAGCCATAAACTCCATGTGAGGAGACCTGCCTTTTAACTAGCGGCAGAAGACAGTAAGATAACAATGAGGGTTTAGTGACTCATCTGAATAGCTGATATCTTAATGAATGAAGCTGTATAACTAAGTCACTATGACCAGACCCACTCCAAGATTTCTTTTTACTGCCTATATGAGGCAGATGAAGACACATGGCTAGGTCAACAAATGTACTTGCCAAAGGGAAAGATACAAAGCAAGCCACTAATTACACAGTTTGCAGTTTATTTGTGGAATTTTAGATTTCATGAACTCGTCCAGCAGAACTACCCCTGAAGGAGGTGGGCTTTAGTGATATGTAACCAAATGTGCTATTCAGCAATATTATTAATGTTACATAAGGCAAAGGAAAACATTTAAAGTATGTAACACTCCATTCTAAACAAAGGATGATCACACATTTATCAATTCCACTATAATGTGAGGCAGAACAAATGACTGAAGATTAGGTTAAGCATGTATAAATGCTGGCAAAGAATGCCTTTAGAAACTGACCAGTTTTTATTTCCCATTCTGCAGCTAAGAGTACCCAAATTCCACTGCAACTGTAACCATGCAAGTGAAGCACAATAGCAACTAATAGTCCTTAGAAAATACTCAGCAGTATTTAAAGCAATCTTATTTTCTGCTATGCCAAACAACTTTTTCCACATTCTCTGCAAGTTTAGAAGAAACTGAGGAGCTACTTTTAACAGATCAAGGTGTTTGACTGCATGTCAGCAGCTATAGTTATAAGTTACTGTTCAACCAGTTCCTGGGGAAACACAAAAAGAATGTGACTCAGAGTACACATGGAAATAAGTGTTTTAGTTTCTGCTGGATGAAGGCAGATGTTTCAGTATTTTTACTTGGAAATATTTTAGGATTAAGTAAGATTGTTTGCTTAAAAAGTACCACCTACCGTTTGATTATGAAGACGAGTGCTCTGCACACTCCTTGGAAGTTCTCTTATCCATGGAAGTTGTATTTGAATCTACCATATCCTCTAATCCAATGCTCAGATTCACACGTAATGCATAGAGAACGAAGAAACCAAAAAATGATGAAATTGCTAAGTTGTAACGCGCAGAGTAGCACACTGGAGGTGAAATAAATATTGAGAGAAACTTTAATTAGAAGAGTAAATTACCTGATGTTGTCTAAATTATGAAAAAATCATTTTTAGAAGTACACTGATAAACTGATAGTCATGAATATTTTCTGAAATAGCCTGAGATTAAGTGTATTTGAAAAGATTTACCAAAAATAATTTGTTCCCTATATCTAGTTTTGATAAAAACTTAACACCTGAGAGCCCAAACTTTAGGACAGTCCATTAAAACACGGAGTAATAGCTTTGTCAAATTTGCTCAGAAAAATCTCTGTTCCACATTCAAAGTGAACCACTAATCCCACTCAGCTGGCAAAGACAAGGCATGAAAAAAAATAGATAAGGGAGTTTAATGGTATCACTATTCCTAAAAACCTAACTAATTATTATTGGTAAGTACTTGAGTACTTACAATGAATGGCATATATACTATTGACTATGGGAAGTAGCCATCTCACTGTAAATGTAGCACAAGAAAATAAAAAGAAAAAAAAGAAATATTGAATAGGACACAAAACTCTTGATAAATTTCTTACCTTGAAGAATATTCTCAGAGGCTAGGTTTAAATCAGAAGCCATGATAATACTTAAGGCTCTCCTAACTTAAATGTATTTAAGAATCCATAAGAAAACGTACAGAATCTATGACAGTTGCAGATCTATGACAGTTGCTCAGTAGCTATCATGCTTAAAGGGCCCAAAGGTAAATAAGTGAATATACCAGAAGGCAGAGGAAGCTGGAGGAACCAATGAAACAAGGGACATGTGAGAGGATGAGTTTGACCCAGTCTTCACTTGAATTATATGCTTACACATGGATTTTCTTTCTGTGGTCAACACTGAATGTTTGATAAATATCTGTTTAAAAGCTGGGCATGGAAGGCTCAGATGTGAGGGTCACTTGAGTCCATGAGTATGAGAACAGTTTGGGCAATACAGAGAGACCCTGTCCCTTTAAAAGAAATCTGGGCTGGAGATATAGGTCCATGGTAGAGCATTTGCCTAGCATCTGGGAGGCGGGGGTTCATTGCTCAACACCACAAACAAAACAAAATGACAACAAAACAAAGAGTAGATAAATGTTGACATATGAACATCTGGACTGGGTAGTAGAGCTCAGTAGTAGAGTACTTGCCTAACATGCACCAGGTCCTGGTTCAATCCCTAGCACCACAAAATAAACAAACCAAATATCCACTTATTTCACCAGGCGATGGTAAGTTAAAATTACATATGTAAAAACCCCATAAAATGCACATATGAAAACACCTATGCTCTTATTTGGTAATGACACTAACAGTTCATATAGAGCCATATGCTATTTGCGTGTGTACACTTCCCTCTGCTTCACAACTATTTCCAGTGACCTTAAACAAAAGTATATTTTTTCAGATACAAAGGTCTCGGCCCTGATTCAGATAGTCTGATTCAGATGGAAACTCAGACAATATTATAGCTGAGTATAAATTAATTCACTACAATCCCACTCATTTTCCTAAGAGCCTTCCCACACTTAACAATTGCAATCAATTTTTTTGTCTGTGCAAGTTAACAGAAAACTCTTCATTTGGTATTCTTGAATCCTTCTTTTCAGGAATAGAGCTATTAAAATTATGGTTAGATACAGATCTGTGAGAGCTGTATTTCTAATTTTTTTGGTGATACTGGGGTTTGAACTCAGGGCCTCATGCTTACTAAGCAGGCACTCTACCACTTGTGCCACTCTGACAGTCCAGAGCTCTATTTCTAAAGCTCCATTCATACTTTCTGTTATTTGAATTTATGCAAATTTGCTTTCCATTTCCATGAAATAGGCAGCTGTCCAGTTAAGGACAGTTTGGGGTCTAAAAGGCATGTTTTACAACATAGCACAGCACATTTTTTTTCTTTCTTTTCTTTTAGTGGTACTGGGGTTTGAATTCAGGGCTTCCAGCTTGCAAAGTAGGTACTCTACCACTTGAGTCACACCTCCACAGCACATTTTCTCTATCAATGCTTTGTCAGGCAATATTACATGGAAATCTTGATGGGGAAATTATAATCTTACCAAATTTGGGTAATTAAAATATGTTACTTCAAATAATTTAGAGCAAGAAAAATCCAGATTCATGCACTATATTTGCTTTGTCAAAGTAGTATTTAAAAAGCTCATTGTCTGCTTCAGTAGTGATTTTTGGTTTAAAAAGGTTATGGTTGCACATTCCTGTAATTCCAGCACTAGAGGCTAAGGAAGAAGGATCATGGTTTGGAGACTAGCTTGGGCTACATAGTGAGACCCTTCCTCCCCCCGCCCCAAAAAAAAGCTCATAGTTGCTTTGTAAAGTTTACTCAGGGGAAAAGTGTGAATGGGTGTGGGGGATGTAGACTGAGGGAGATTGCTTAGGGGACTGTTGGACCTTTCCAAAGAAAGTAGGAGATGAAGATGACTTAAATGATGGTGAAAGCAGAGGTAATGGAGAGAAGTGGGTGGAGTTGAGGTAAGTTTAAATGCAGAATTAATAGGCCTCACCTAAAGGCTAGATATGACAGTAAGTAAAAGGAAGGAATGAAGTTACTAAATTCATTACTCTAAGTAACTTTATTTTCTGCCATTCTGACTTGCACTGTCATTATTGTATTTTATTCTTTTTGCAGTTACCTTCCTTTTCTGTATGTTATTAGTTTCCCCTCAAGGGATGCTTGATTTGGACTATGGTATACTTTATCATGTGAGTACATGTGGGGCTGCAAGCTTGGGAAGTGAAAGGTGAGAAAAATGGTTTCAAATTACTAAAAAATCTGACCTGAGCCAGGCGCTTGATGGCTCATGCCTATAATCCTAGCTACTCAGGAGGCAGAGATTAGGAAGATCATAGTTAGAAGACAGCCTGAGCAAATAGTTTGTGAGATCCTATCTCAAAAAAAAAACCACAACCCATGGCTGGTGGAGTGGCTCAAGGTGAAGACCCTCAATTCAGGCCTTCATATATACATGTATAACATGAGTTTGGGATGGGAAAGACTTTTGGAGGAGGAATATTTGACTGAGTATTCCTCTATGAGCAGGAAGGAAGTTGCCAGGCAGTTCAGAGGAAGAAGAGCAACCCAAGCAAAATAGGGGCAGGGGAGCAAAGGAGAATGATGGAGGGGGTGAATGTAACTAAGATATATTGTAAGCACTTTTGTAAATGCTACAATGTACCCTCAGTACAATAATAATATGGTAATAAAGAATTGAAAAAGGAAGCATGGAAATGAGAAAGGTGGTCAGAGGGAGAGCAGGAAATCCTATAGGATCTGAGGTGGCAGTACTAGGAACTGCAGCAACTCTGAGAACTAATGCTATTGAGTGAGACAGCTGGTATGGAGTTTACTAACAAAAAATAATAGCTAATATTTGTTGAGTACTTACTATGTGCTTGGTACCAGACAAGAATTTTGCCAGTATTATGGGCATTATAAAGATGAACTGAGTTAGTATACTAAAACACTGCTTAGTACATTACTTTTCTTAGATATTAGAGCTTGATGGTAAGGTATAATCATAGTCATTACATTCTATACAATTGATATGAGATGCTTGAGGATTTGTCATGGGCGACATGAGGCTTCTCAGTGATAGCAGCGAGTGCGTAAGTGGGCAGTTGGCATGCAGCCCTGATCCTAATAGTTGTGAAACTGTCAGAAGCACTTTAGCTTCACTACATTTCTACGGGTATTTGATTTTGAGGTGTTAGAACATCAGTAGAGCTTAGCCTATCATGAAGTATCATAGTGATGTACTCTATAACAAAGTAAGTAGGGCATCAGTGGGTAAGACATATCTTCAAAGATTGGCAAGTGGTGGAGACTCACTACAAGTGGTCATGATTCTTGAATCAGTAAACCAGTGACAGAGAAAGACGTAAAATAGTGAGTGGAGCTGGAAGTTCTAGTGTTTAGAGAAAATAATCATACTGGTGAATAAAACAAAGTTTCTTAATCGTGTCTTTCTGTTGCTGTGACAGTATCTACATGTCCTAATGTAAGATTCCCTGACGCCTGAGCAGCACGTTGTCTGCTGAATGTTTTTCTAAGAAGCTGCGGCCAATAGCTTTGTCGCGCCTTATGTGAGAGCTGTTAAGAAACTCTTTCTTCGTGTCTATCTAAAGACCAGAAGTGTAGCGGAGCAAAGCCTATCTAACCTAAACTACCTAAACAGTGCTCGTGAACAGATTACGAGTGCTGCACAGCTTTTAATCTATAACAGCATAGAGTCATGTTTTGCAAAATGTATTTATAGAAGTCAGAAAAATCTAGTCAACCATAATTTAACACAAATTATAAAGTTTAGTTTGTCCGTCAGAGGAGATTGTTTAGAACCATTGATAAAATGGAGCCTAAGCTCCTTATGACTAGATGTGTCTAGAGATACTAATTCTGCTAGTGTTAAGGCACAACCATCGAGCATAATGGTCTGTTTATTAGATTTTATGATATACATCACAGACCCTAAAATCTGACTGTGTGGTGTACCTCCTCATGCTATTCTAGAAAAGCCCTTCTTTCTTTACTAGTTCATTTAATAGTCTTCTCCAACAATAACTTTATATTAAAGTATATTACTTTTCCTGATTTATAGATAAAGGAAGCACAGAGAGGTTAGTTGACATGGCAACACTCACACAGCTAGTTAGTGGAGTTGGGACTGAAAATTAGGCACTCAGCTCTCAGATCTATGCTGTTTTGTAAACACAAGTAATGTATTAGAACCCCTAAAGCTGACTTCTTGTATCATGAGTGAGCACATCATTGGTGCAACAGAATTTTGAACTGATACAAATAATCAATCAATAATCAAATACAAGAGATATCCCACTTATATACAAGCAAGCCTTCAACTGATGGAAACTATGATGAACGAATTTTTATGTATAGCAGGAAAAACTTTGCTTTTATTTAATACCCTCCATTTCCCATATCTAAATTAGGAAGAAAAACCTGCAGACTTACTGTTATCAGTACTGAGCCACCCTTCTCCCATTGTTTTGGTGTGCATCTTTGAATTTCCTCAGGCTCAATGAAAGCAGGTGCTTCATTGAGAGGAGTGACAGAGCTGGGTACTGAGAATTCTGTCATATCAAACTGAGAGGTATTAATTCTTAACAGTAAAGAAACATATCCTAACTTTAGCTCTGTTAATAAAAAAACACTTTTCATAATTTAAAATCATGTCCCATTACTTATGGTCAGGTAGAAGTGGAATATTTTCAAATTTGCGAAGGATCAAGTAAAAATGATAAAGCATTTTTCAAATAGAAATTTCTTTCCTTTTCTTTCTTTCTTTCTTTTTTTTTTTGCAGTACTGTGGTTTGAACTCAGGGCTTACACCTTGAGCCACTCCACCAACCCTTTTTTTTGTGTGTTTTTTTTTTTCAAGATAGGATCTCACAAACTATTTCTCCAGGCTGGCTTTGAACTTTGATCCTTCCAATCTCTGACTCCTGAGTAAATAAGATTACAGGTGAAGCCATTGAAACTGATGGATAGACTGCCGGAGGTCCCAAAAGGTGATAATTGGGTGGAGACATTTCTCCTTCCTAGGAAGGAGACATTTCTCTCTTCCTAGGAGACATTTCTCCTTCCTTTGCACCTGAGAGACATCTCTGCCCTCGGGCAACAAAAAAGGTTATAAAAACCCAATTTTCAACCTGACTGACAGGACCACGGGTTTGCGGTTCCCCCTGCATGCCCCCATGCAGCCTTTCTCTTCTCTACAAATAAAGTCTTTCTGCCCTCTGCTGCTGGAGTCTGGCTGTGCTTTCATTTCAGAGTGTACCCAAGAACCCTGAACACCTGAAAATTCCTGTGTGTCTTCTGTGCATCATATTTGGTGACCATAGAGGGACACTTCTTCACCTGAGGTTGGTACAGGTTGCACCAAACTGGAGGGGACTGCCTAGGAAATGGTTGTGATCGTCTGGCATGCCGATGGAGTCTGTCTTATAGCAGAGCACCAACCCATCCCCCCGCCTTAGCTATGGTGGAACTCTCAAGCTGACTCACTGTCTCTCTTTCTCTCTCTCTCTCTTTCTCCTCTCTCTTTCCCTCTCTCTCTCATTAAGGAGGGTTTCTCCCTTGGGAACCTGAGGAAAAGCCCTAAGCCTTCTACAGCTGCAAGGCAGGCAACCCGAGAAATCAGAGTCCAGCTGGGGGGCTTATACCAGACTGCCAATGCTACAGGGGCACAGCTAAAACCTCAGTGCACCCAGGCTTTTTTCCTCTTAACTCTTGGCTCCCTCCCTCCTTAAACTCTCTCCCTTTCAAGATCTGACCTGCTTATGAAAATGTCTGAAAACAGCTGGTAGAAAGGAAAGTTTCTCTTCAAGGTATAAGGGTGCTCTGACCTGGGCAACTCCCCGGTGACACCTGAAGGCTGAAGATTCAACTTCCTGACCCACCCTGAGGCTCCAAAGGTGGCTAAGTATCGGAACCCCTCCAGCCATGTCTGGGGCAAACAGACAATCTGATCTCTACACTTTCTTCACGGTTCCCATGCCCAAGTTTGGAGGTCACCCCTCGCTTCCAGTGCTCCAGTATTGCCTCTGCCAGGATTGACCTAGATAGCAGTGATGACCAATAATCCCTGATGGTTGAGCCTGGAAACTCTCCTTCACCCAATCCTCAGCTTCTTCTTCCTCTTCCCTTTTAGATCAGGATGAGTGGTCTCCCCACTTTGACCTAAATAGCAGTGGGCTTCCGTCTTCAGCTGAGTCCGGGAGAGATCCCTACATCCCCCATGACAGACACCAGAAAGTGCTGCTCTCTAACTTGGGCTTATCTGGCTAAGCAGGTTCCATAGTCTGCCCTGGGGGGGGGGGGAACCAGTTAAAGGGATAGAGACCTCAAAGGTCTTCTATGATTTTTGTCCCTTACTACAGGAAAACACAAAACAAAACAAAACAATGCCTTCAGATGCTTCCTCGCTTTTCATAGAAAATATATATGTCTCATAGGAGATATAGAGGGACAAAGTCTACCTCTTCAGGAGTCCCCGTCCATGCCTCTGCAGGGGTCCTCTCTCTGGCCATGTAAGCCCTCTTGGTTACTTTGATAAGAGTTGTTTTAGAATTAAAAGCCTTCAGCTGGTAGAGGAGAACCACGTACCTGGGTCACAAGGCAAACAGGCAAGTCAAAATGAATAGATAAAAAATTGATCAGAGGGCACTCTGGTGGGGTGGTTGCAGCCGGACTTACCTGTCTTCCCCATGACCTTAGCCACAGGTGGCAGGGGCAGGAGAGCAAGGGAGAGAGGGACACCGTCTCCCATGTAGAGTTTCTCCTCACCTGAGGACGCCTAGGTAAAAGGAGAAAACCTCTGTTAATGTGATCAATTTTCCCTAGCTTCCCTTTTTAGATGGGGAATCAGGCTTAAAGGATCCTGGAAGGATTCCTCCTTGCCTGCTTACTAAAACACTGGAAAGACCTTCATCCAGAAAGTCTTCAGCCAAAACAACTCAAGTTTTTCTGAACACAGGCCTGGCCACAGTATCCTCTGGGAGATGGGGAAAGATGGCCAGAAGGAGGGAGATTAATTATAATACTATTCTTCAATTAGATATGTTCTGTAAAAAGGAGGGAAAGTGGACTCAAGTCCCATATATTCAACTTTTCTTTCACCTAAGAGACCACCCAAAATGGCTGAGCAAATGCAGGCTGGATACCTAGACCATGGTGACCCTTTCCAAAAAGCCCCCAAACTTTCTTGAGGAACCAGAACCAAAAAAACCCATCTAATGCCCAAGGGCCCCCAATAATGACATTCTTCTCTGGAGGAACAGCCAGTACTAGATCAGGCAGCTACAGCTGGGGATGATTATCACTTATATAAATGTAGCCCTGTAGCCCTATCTCAGACTGGGCCCTCACAGGAGGAGGAGGGGGAGGGAGAAGAAAGACAAAGACATTGGATACCTAAAAGGGAACCCTGATTCCCAGTTCCAACAGGAGATCAGGCAGTACCTAGGTATGATCCTAAGTGGGACCCTGAAAAGGACAAGGATGAATGGAGCTGTAATCATTTCATCCACTGCATTCTTGGGGAACTAAGAGAGCCAAGGTAAAACCCCTTAATTACTCCCAAGTCACAGCTGTGCAGCAAGGACCCGTAGAAACCCCATAGCTTTCCTACAGAGACTTAAGGATGTTTACAAGAGCATATCAACATTGTATCAGAGTCACAGGAAGAGGAAATCATCCTAAAAGATAAATTTCTAACACAGCCCCAGATATCCATAGAAAGCTTCAACTGGAGCCAGCATTTCAGCTATTCCTTTCTCTCCTGACCCAGGTCCTCCAAGAAAATTACTGTTTGAGGCCTATCAGGCCAGCTCCTAGAGCATTATTTCACTAAACCTCTAGCCTGCTCCTGGGGAGATTTCCACTGCTGTCATTCCTTTTAAATTGTCTCAGAAATCCCTACTCCTCTGCTAGGGCAAGACCTTCTAACTTGGGGGTGTAGCTCCTTTTATCCCCAGGAGAGTACTTTTGGTTGCCCCGATAGAGGAACAGGAGACCCCCCCCACAGTGTGGACAGACAGACATACGGTGGGATGGGCACGAACAGTGTTCCCAGTCCTAATTCATCTGAAGGATCCCTCTTGGTTTCCCCATCAAAAACAATACCCTTTAAGACCAGAAGTTAAGGAGGGACTAATTCCCATAATCAAAGACTTAAAAAGATGGGGCCTGCAAGTAGAATGCTTCAGCCCATACAATACTCCTATTCTTGGTTTCAGGAAGGGACATAACAAATGGAGGCTAGTCCAAGATCTCTGCCTGATCGACAAAGCAGTAGTGCCTCTCCACCCTGTAGTTCCAAATCCCTATACACTTTTAGCCCAAATACCTCCAGGTACTGCTTACTACTCTGTCCTGGACTTAAAGGACACCTTCTTTTGCATTCCCTTACATCCTAAAAGTCAATCTATCTTTGCCTTTGAGGACCCCTCAGGAAAGTCTGGACAGGTCACCTGGACTGTCCTCCCCCAGAGATTCAGAGACAGCCCCCACCTCTTTGGGTTGGCTCTAACCCAAGACTTGGCAGAGTGGCAATATCCACAAGCTCCTCTGCTACAATATGTAGATGACCTCCTCCTCTGTGAATTGACTGAGCCTGTCACTTCACGAGCCACTGAATCCTTACTAAACTTCCTAGCAGACAGAGAATAAATAATCTCTAAAGAAAAAGCCCAATTGGGTCAGTACAGGGTTACATATTTAGGTCTTTATATCAAATCCCTAAGGAAACAAAAAAGGATCCCCCCGGCCCTTTATTATTTGGGATGACAAATAAGAAAATACATTCCACCAGTTAAAAAAGGCCTTTATGACAGCTCCAGCCCTGGGTCTCCCGGTTCAGGAGAAGTTTCAATTATATGTCTATGAAAAGGAAGGACTGACCCTGGGAGTGGTGACTCAGCTCCGGGACATCACTCCCCAGCCAGTGGGCTACTTAAGCAAAGAATCAGATCAGATAGCCAAGGGATGGCCAGGATGTCTTCCAGCAGTTGCTACAGTTAGCCTTCTCGTGCCTAAAGATGAAAAACTGATGCTAAGCCAGCTCCTGCCACTTTACACCCCACATGACCTAGTGAGAATTTTAAACTCAAAAGGGAAGTTACTCTAATAGTTTTCAGCATGGATTGCAGCTGTAGCTGGAATCAGCTATGGGGTGACTGTGAATCATGTAACTGTAAAAAAACCTAATCAAAGTAGTAGAGAGCACCTCAGACCAGGTACGCCTTGACATTAAGGACATATGAAGGTCTTTATTGTCTCTTGCCTGGTCCTAGATTTTGTTTTGGCTAAACAAGACCAATATGCTATTGCCAATACCTCCTATTGCACATAAATAAACACTTTAGGCATCCTAGAGGAACCTGCAGACTACATTCTCCAACAGGCTAAGTGGCTGCGAGAACAGTCTCTCAAAACTCAGGATTCTACATAGGTATGGAACCAAATAAAATCCTGGCTCCCCTCCAGGATTGGTTCCTACCTGTTCTGGGGCCTATAGTTGCCATTATTCTCTTGCTTGTGTTTGGGCCTTGCATTTTAAACTTATGTGACAAGTTTCTTGCCTCTCGCCTAGAATCCATCAAACTACAGATGCTCCTGATGAACATGAAAATGACCTACTATCTCGGTCCCCTTGATAACCCTTCTCATGGTCAGCCCTGATGCTGCGGGCCCCTTCATCGCCCCCTGTCAGCAGGAAGCAGTCACTGAATAGACTTATCCCTGTCCCTAAGAGCAGTTAGGGTGATCACTGAGAGAGGGGAATTAAAGGACTAACTGCAGGAGGTCCTAAAAGGTGGTAATTGGTCAAGGAGACACCTCTCCTTCCCAGGAAACTTGTTTGTTTGCACCTGACACACATCTCAGTCCTCAGGCAATAAAAAAGGCTATAAAAACCCAATCCCCAAGCTGACCCACAGGATCACCAGTTTCTGGGTCCCCCTTCATGCCCCCATGAAGCCTTTCTCTTCTCTATGAATAAAATCTTTCCGACCTCTGCTGCTTTCATTCTCAGAATGGACCCAAGAACCCTGAAATTCCTGCCTGTCTTCTGTGCATCAGAACCTGGATCTCAAGTAGAAATTTCTTGAATGTAACATACATGTAGCACTATGTGTCCAGGAAGGAGGTTAGGACTAAAATCCAAGGGACCTTGGAGTCTAGTCTCTACCACTGTGTGCAAGCTTCTGCAACTGACTAAGCCTATTTGGCCCTCACTGCTGGCATAAAAATGACACTATGCTAAGTGGGAGCCTTGGGTCTTTTTACAGCTATAAAATTTTATGGTTAGGACATTTCCTCGGCCTTTCTCTTCAGAAAAAGAAAACAATATGCTTAGGCACAGATAAGGTACAGCTGATTTCCTACTGGCATGTTCCAGAAACACACACACCCCTAAATATGTTTTGTTTTGGAGACAGTGTCTCACTATGTAGCCTAGGCTGGCTTGGAACTCATCCTCCTGCCTCAAGCCTCATAAATGCTGGGATTACATGCCTGGCTTCTTTTCTTTCAACTTTATCAAAGTATAATGAAAGTGACTAATGTTTAATCCAATCAAGATCAGGATGTAAAACTTTCATATCATCCCCCAAAGTACCTCAGTGCTTTTTTGTAGATTCCCTCCTGCCCACAGCTTCTAGGCAATCACTGATTTGCACTATGTTATTACATATTAGTTTTACTTGTCCTAAAACTCCATATCGATGAGATCACATACTAAAATGGTGACTTCTTTTGCTCAGCATGTTTTTGAAGTGTATTCATGTTATGTGGATCAGTTTTTTGTCCCTTTCTATTACTGAGTAGTATTGCATTCTACGGATACACAATTTGTTTATCCATTCACCAACCAACTAAGTTGTAGTTATTTCAGCTCTTTGTCAGCACTGATTTGAATTTTAGCCATTCTAGGAGTATATAATGGCCCACTGTGGTTTCAATATGCATTTTCTGACAATGAATGATGTTTGACATTTGAGCTAAATTTTGACCACATATGTATTCCAATTGCAACTGAGTACAGTAGTCTCTATTAACGCATTTGGACTATTTTACAAAGTAAGATTATATCAGTGTCTGTCTGTCCCTTGTCCTTCCCTCTCCCACGGTAATGGGCTTTGAAACCAGGGTCTCACCCTTGCTAGGCAGGCACTCTACCACTTCAGTCACTTGGCCAACTAATTTTAACAGCATAAGCCACATCAGTTTATGGAACTAAGATTTTTGGATAAAATGTTACTTTGATATAATATTTCTCTTCAACCTTGACTAAAATAAGCTCTCACATGCCAGATGGAAAAATAATGTTGCCACATCTACTGCCACCGTCTGGTAATGTTAAAAACAAATAAAAAGGAGAGACCTTGGTCAACAAAAGTTCTATTTCCAATTTAATTATTTGTCATGCACGCCTTTGATACTATGGAATGCATGCAATCAAATTTGCTCTTTAGGTTTTTTTTTATTATTACTTTTTAAGAAGCTACATTACAAAAGTATCAAATAGCAAATCCTGTAGTTTCTCTAGATTCTGGGATGATACTTTTTGAAGTACTTCCCTTTCAATTTGTTACAACTTTGGCCAATTACCATAGAGCTCGATAAATACCCTATGTTGACGATAACCGAACTGTTTCCTAATAGAAATCGTACACGGAAAAACCCTGAAAAGTCTGCGATCTTTTGTGTCTTTCAGCACAATGGCAGATGTTCGCTGGGTTATGCAATGACTACTCCGCACACCCACAAATGTTGACCCTATGCTTTTTCATCTGTCCTCCCCGCCCGGGAGCCACCAGATCACATGCTTGCTGATGTGCAGCTGCGGAAACCTGGCGGTCGCAGGGAAGGGAGCCAGAGGCTCTGTCTGGCCTCGGCTCATTGATTTGCAGGTCCCTCCCAGGTGGTTCTTCCCTGGGTGGGCACTACCGCGGGCGGGCCCCGTGGGGCTGCACCTGCACCTGCACCTGCCGGGGTTCCGCCCGAGGGCGTCCCTGCACCGGACAGGCCGGTCGGGCTGGTCCCTGAATGGGCTTCCCCTCCGCTGAGCCCCCTTGCGCCTGACAGCTCCCGCCGGCCCGCCAGGATGTCGGTACCCTGGATGGGACACACCTGCGCCGGTACCACCGCCCGTCCCGGGAGTGTCGCCGGCCCACCGCCCCTCGATTGTCCCGCCGCTCACCGGCTTCGGCTTCCAGGCGCCGTGCAGGAGCGGGGTGCTGTCCGTGTTCTCGTCCTCATCATTCACAGCCGGACCCCGAGCCGTGGGCCTCACGATGCCTGCCACAGCTGAGGTGCTGGCGACTCTGCAAGGAGGAGCGCTCGGGCCCACAGCCCAGGCCCTGGGGCCGCGCTGGCCCGGAGGGGCCGGGGCGCGGGCGTTGGCCCCGCCCCCGCCCCGTCTTGTCACCGAGGCCCGGCCCAGAGCCGGCCTTGCCTACTGCGTCCCCCACCATCTTAGGTTCCGGCAGCGCCGGCCTAGGTCTGGGCGGGGAAAGCAAGGTTCCGGAGTTCCGGTCTGGTGGGCGGGGCCGGCGTGGCCGCGGGTGCTCTTGGGAACGTCCCGCCGCCGACCGTCGTAAAGCGCGAGGCCGCGCTGGAGGAGCTGGGTGACTCGAAGCCTGGGTCTTGCACGGCGATTCGAGTCTCTAAGTAAGACTAGGGAAGTGGTGCGCGCTTGACGCTCAGTTGTCAGTCGCCAAATTGATGGGAATATTAGCAACCTTTGTGCCGTTTACCCCGTGACTGCAGGTCTTTCCTAAAATAGCTTTTGAGGTAGAACAACTGCAAATGGAAATAATAGAGTCCAGTGAAATGGCTGATTCTCTAGGGGAAAACAGCCCGATATAGGGGTGGCCCGTGGTTCAGCCTGTCTAATCCTCTGATGTGTGCGTTTCCTTGCAGATCTAGTTCCCTCAGATTCTCCTAGTTGCTGACTCTAAGAAAGAGGAACTAGGAAACACGAACCAGTGGCCGTGGCAGGGCAGGCCTGGAGCTGTTTGGGCAATAAAGGTCATCTCTGTGGAGACAGACGGAAAAGGTAAGATGTGGTAGCTGCCATCCGGGAAGGTTGCAAGCAATAATTCAGTAAGCCAGGTAAGAGGATTGGTGAGGTCCAGGTGGGAGGCCTTCTGCGGGCATCCCTAAACTTCCTGATCAAATTAAAACATGAAAGATCTGGCGACTAAAATTGCCAGGTGGATTTCAAACTCTGAGGATTGTAGAGATGTGCCACTCATACTCGAATATGTACACAGTCACGGAGCGGATACTTTTAAAATGTGCATTTTGAGCCGGGCCCTGGTGGCTCACTCTTGTAATCCTAGCTACTCAGGAGGCAGAGATCAGGAAGATCGTGGTTCGAAGTCAGCTGGGGAAAATAGTGCCAGAGACTCTATCAAAAAAACCCATCATAAAAAAGGGCTCCTGGAGTGGTTCAGGGTGTAGGCCCTGAATTCAAGTAACAGTATAGAAAAAGAAAAAAAGTGCATTCTGATTCGGCAGGCCTGGTGTGGAATTTTATGCGTCAACACTGAGGGGTCAGGTTAATTCATAATCTGTAAAGCTAATTGCCCTCTATAATGACTAGAAAAAAATACCAGCCTCCCTACAGTCCCTTTTTCCCCTAAGTAAAGTGGGGATTCTCTATAGCAGACTGAATTCAGATTTCATTCACACCCTTGTACCCTCCACTTCCACCATCCTTCTCCTGGGTTTGGGGACTGTAGAAGCAATACCATATTCATACCCCTCTCTCTATTTCCCTCTCCTCCCCCCACCCGCCCCATTGGTTCTGTTTGTCTGAGAACCCCAACACATCTGAGGTGGGTGTGACACTCTGGGTTGCTAACCATCTTCCAGATGACCACACTGAATAGTAAGGTTATAAAGGACTTGGCCAAGGAATAAAGATTCCAACAGTCTTGAAAGATTTCAAAGTAAAGCAAGTCTCTTTTTAAAAAAACTTGTTAATTTTTAATTTTATTTTTACTTTTTGGCAGTACTAAGGTTTGAACCCAGGGCCTTCCACTTGCGAGACAGGCCCTCTACCACTTGAGTCATGCACCAGAACCTTAGTACAATTTTTATTTGAGAAATTTTAGGTTTGCAGAAAAGGTTCAAAGTCAGTACAGTGAGTTTTCTATACCTTTTGCCTAACATGATCTGTTATCATTAGTATGACACACTTATCACAACTATTAAGCCAATATTGATAAGTATTATTAACTGAAATTCATAGTTTGTTTGGATTTTTTTCTTGTCCCAGGATCCATCTAGGATGTTATGTTACGTTAAGTCCTTGTGTGTCCTTGGGTTCCTCTTGGCTATGATGGTTTCTCACACCTTCCTCATTTTTGCTGACCTTGACAGTTTTGTAGAGTATTGGTAGGATTTATAGAAAGTCTCTCAGTTTGGATTTGTCTGATGTTTTCCTTAAAATTAATTGGGTTGTTTTAGAGAAAGGCTGTAGAGCCATTCTCCTCACATAATTTCCAGGAATGTGCTGACAACATGACTTATCACTGATGATTACTACTAATTATGTTAAGCTTCATTTCATGTCTGAATTAGGGTCTGTTAGGTTTTTTCCACTGCAAAAAAATTTTTTTGGTGGTACTGTGGTTTGAACTAGGACTTCACACTTGCAAGGCAGGCACTCCATCTCTTTAGCCATGATTACAGTCCAAAATTATTGTTTTACTCCCTTTCCATACTTTGCTATTTGGAAGGAAATCAGTATGTGCAGCCTACACTTAAAGGGTGGGGAGTTATGCTCCAGCACTTTGAAGGCACAACTGTTTTGTTATGGGAGACTTGCTTGTTCTGCCCCATTTATTTAGTTAGTTATTTATATGATTATAGAGTCCAGGTTATTTTATACACTGGATTTAAATCCCTAGATTATTGATTTTGTTGGTGGTATCATACTCTGTCATTTATTTTCTTGATCAAATTGTTTCAGATTTGGTGATTGGGAGTACTTTCTTTTTGGCTTCTGTATCTTTTTACATGCTTCCATTGTTATGGTTTTGAGCAATGCTTTTCTTTCTGGTAGAGTAAGATGTTTTATCTAGGTTCATCCTTTTTTTTTTATGGTACTGGAGTTTGAACTCAGGGCCTCATGCTTTCTAGGCAGGTGATGTACTGCTTGAGCCACTCCACCAGCCCTTTTTTGTGCTGGGTATTTTTGAGATAGAGTCTCGCCAACTATTTACTTGGGCTGGTGTTAGGCCATGATCCTCCTAATCTCTGCCTCATGAGAAGCTAGGATTACAGGCCTGAGCTACCACCGCCTGTGTCTAGGTTCATCTTGTATGTTCTCTGCCCCTGTTACTTCTCCAAAGAGAATGGTATTGGAAACTAACATCTGGGCCCTGGGTAGACCTTCCTAGACCTAGTGGAGGTACTTTATTGCTGTTGTTGTTTTTGTTTGATTTAGAGTCTTCCCAAGAGGATTAAAGAAAAAAGTGTAAGATGACATTTCCCACCCCTTATATGTGGCATTTATTTTCTGATTGCACACTAGTATAAAGATTGTTGTTGATGGTACTCATTTATTTTTGGTTGGTAATTCCTTTACCAACACTAGACCAGTACTGTTCAGTAGAAATACAATTCGAGCTACATATATAAGTTAAAATTTTTTAGTAGCCACATTAAAAAATAATAAAAAGGCAGAATTAATTTTATAATAGATAACCATTTAACCTACTATATCACAAATTATCAGTTGTGTACCTACCCAACATAAAATTATTGACATACACTCTTTCTTCTGTATTAATCTTTGAAACCCAGTGCACATTTTCAGTGTCATCTTTCTCCGTGGCTGCCACCTTCTGTGTGCATCACACATTGTTCTGTTCACTGATCCTTGCACATACCATGTTTGCCTTGTGTTGTTCCCTCCACCTGTTTGTTTATGTGTATGGTGAGTTCCTATATGTCCTTTTTGGTAAATGTCACCTTTTATTTAGTGATTCCTTGATAATCTTTTCCTTACTCAGTGCTTTTATGTATGCTATATACCTCTTTACAGTAGCACATTGTTTTAGAGCTATCTAAGACACTCTAATAGTAGGTGAGTCATTGCTTTAGATCTGGAATTTTGACTTATCTTCCATTTCCAGCTTTGAGTAGGGAGAACGGATATTTTTGAAGCCCTATGTTATGTGTCAGGCTCTGTCCTGGTTGCTATGGGAGTATGCAAGGTATATAAACATGCCTTCTGCATTCAAGGAGCATACAAGTACCCTGAAGGAAATATTTCTTAATACTATCCAAGGAAAAATAAAGTACTGCCCTGGCAGTTATGAAAGTTAGGGGAAATATTTTTATTTATAGATTCTAGAGAGCAAGTTTTAAATGAATAATGTATTTCCCATAGAAGAGTGGTAATATTTTTAGGAAGGAATTTTAAAATTAGTCTGTGCTCCATGAGGATATTTTCCCATATCTTCGTTTCTTTTTTTTTTTTTTTTCCCAAAGGTTTATTAGCAGAGAGGAAAAGAGAAGAAAAGCCCCTGTATGTGGGGGTGGGGGTCTCAGAAAAGCTGAGCCACTTTCCCCATATTTTATTTAGGCAGCTGTCCTGTCAGTTGTCCTCAGACAGTGATCAATATAAAAACAAAATAAGATGGGAAAGGTGCAGTTTTCTGTCATGTTTATATGAAAGCATATGTTCATGATTTTCATAGCAGAGTTTGATTTTCCTCAGTATTGTACAACTTGAATTGTGTAATTCTTACCTCATACAGACATGTGAGAATATTGTGTGTCTGTCTGTCTGTCTGTCTGTCTGCCTGTTACTGACAGATTGAACCCAGAGTCTCACACGTGGTAAGCAAACACTCTACTGCTGAGCTGTATCCTCAGCTCATGAGTATTACTATTGCCATTTTGAAGAGGAGAACTAATAGATGGAAACTGAATGAAGTGATATGTCTAAGGTCAGCAACAGTCACTACTACAATTAAGATGTATTGCCTTTCCTTGTATTCAAATCCTGAGGATACTTCTTTATAATTCCCTTATTTTCTATACCTTGTGTGTTTCCTTTGCATGTTAAAACTAATTTCCTCTATCCCTCCCTCTAACTCTACATCTCTCTCTACCTCTATCCCTTCTCTTCCTTCCCTTCCTTCCCTTTCTTTCCTGGTGCTGGGGCTGGAACCTGGGGACAGGATTGCCAGCTAAGCACTCCACTACTGATCCATGCCCCCAGCCCTATATCTTAAAACTTTTGAGCACAATTTTGGTTAGTCTTGAAATTCATTTTAATGGTAAGTATATAAAATGTGGATTGTTAGTTGTTTACAAATTATGTGGCATTTTCTTTGTCAGTTTTCCTTGATGGAGGGGGACACTAAAAAAAAAAAAAAAAAAGATGTAACTAATATTGCCTCTGTGAAAAGCCTGGCAGAGATATCTAAAATTTAAATATCCTGAAAAATTTAAGGAAACATAGTTTTATCTCTTTGACTTCAGAGAAATTTAAGTCAAAATTTGCAAATATAAAATATCAATGGAGCAGATAGTATACCAACTGAGAGAATCATACAAGAAACAGAATTACCTTCAGAAGTGAACTAAAAATGCATACAAAGCAACTGAAAATTGAGTGATGTGGGCAGATTAGAAGATTAAGGTTCAAATCTGTCCTAAGTGCATGTGAAACCACAGTGTTACTGAATCAGCCCTTCCTGACAGTCCTTTTGGGTCAGAATTCTTTCTGCCTAGAAATTCATGTATTTTATGACTAACAAAAGGCATAGTGCCTCAGGAACTAATGGTCAGAAATGAAACCCCGAACTCAATAGAATTTAAAAAACACTGTATTAAGGCAAAATTGATATACAAAACACTGCACACATTTAATGCATCCAGTTAGATGAGGTTAGCTAGTTGCCTGCACCTGTGAAATTATCGCCACAGTCAAGCTATTAGACACATCCATCTCCTTGGTTGTTGTGAGAACAGTTAATATGAGATCTATTCTCTTGACTTATTTATGTTTTTTTGGTGGGCCTGGAGTTTGAACTCAGGACTTCACACTTGCAAAGCAGCTGCTATATTGCTTGAGCCATACCTCCCGTCCATTTTGCTCTGCTTATTTTGGAGATGGGGCTGGCAAACTATTTGCTTGGGCTGTCCTTGAACCACAGTTCTCCCAATCTCAACCTCCCAAATTGCTAGGATTACAAGCATGAGCCATCAGCACCGGGGCCTCTTGACCATTTAAGTGGATAATACAGTATCATTAGTTGTAGACATCATATTGTACAGCATAGCTCCAGAATTTATTCCTCTTACATAACTTAAAATTTTATACAGATTTAATAACAACTCTCCATCTCACCCTCCTTCTAACCCCTGACAACTTTCATTACATTCTGTTTTTATGAATTTAACCTTTAAAAATATAACTCATTAAAACTTGGATTTTGAATGTCCCTCCAATGCCCAGGTGGTAAAGGCTTAGTCCCAACCTGTGGTGCTATTGGGAGGTGCTGAACTTTTAGGAGATGGGTCTAGTGGAAGGAAGTTAGATCATTGAAGGTATGTTCTTGATGGAAATGTTAGTCCTCTAGTCCCTTTTCTTCATCTCTCTTCCCGGCCACTCATGAGATGAACAAATACTTTCTGCTATGCACTCTTGCCATGATGTTCTGTGATGCCACAGTTCCAAGGCAACAGGTCCAAGTAGCCATTGACTGAAATCTCTGAAACCATAAGCCAAAATAAACTTCCCTCCTTAAAAAGCCTGTAGGGAAGCCAGGCATTGATGACTCACTTCTGTAATCCTAGCTACTAAGAAGACAGAGATCAGGAGGATTGAGGTTCAAAGCCAGCCTGGGCAAATAGTTCACAAGACCCTATCTGTAAAAAAAAACCTATCACAAAAAAGGGCTGATGGAGTGTCTCAATGTGTAGGCCCAGAGTTCAAACCCCAGTACCACAGACACACAAAAAAGAGGCCTTTAGGGACATTTAAAATCCAAATGATAGCAAGGACTGTCCAAAGTTTGTGTGGGATTGGACTGGGGTCAGGTGTCTGTCTACTGACCTCTATTTCTGACATCTTCAATTATGTTTTACAGTTGTTGTTTTCATAGTTGACATTTTGATTACTTAGACATGGGAAGGTATACAATGACTGCTATGATGCAGACTTAGGGAAATTACCTCACCTTTGGACTTGATTGCCAAACAACATAACAGTGGAAAAAGAATTCCAATCATTACTCAGTTAAGCCCAATCATCCCTACCCTATCCCCTTTTATCACTGCACAGCAAATGATCTGATTTGAAAACCTAGATTATCTTTTATTTCAGTTTCTTATGCCCTATAGTCTTAAGGGAAGTAGATGAGCATAATCCTTTAAAATCATTTCAGCATACATGCCTTAACAAAAACGTTTTCATTATGAAAAAGTTTAAGTATACACAAAATTAGAGTATAGAATAATAAAATGCTATTAACTATTTACTCCAGTGATTACTGATATTTTTCCAAATTTGTTCATTTTTTAATTCATTTATTCATATGTACATACATTGTTTGGGCCATTTCTTTCTTCAGTGGTTAGTAGTTCTCCTTGTAGAGGTCATTTACATCCTTTGTTAAGTTTATTCCTAGGCATTTGATTTTTTTTTGAGGCTATTGTAAGTGGAATTGTTTTTCTATATTATTTCTCAATTTATTCATTGTTGGCGTAGAGAAAGGCTAATGATTTTTGTAAGTTGATTTTGTATCCTGCCGCATTGCTGAAGCTGTTTATGGTGTCTAGGAGTTTTTTTGGTCTTAAGGAATAAAGTCATGTCATCTGTGAATAAGGATACTTTGACTATTTCTTTACCTATTTGTATTCCTTTTGTTTCTTCTACTTGCCCTATTGCTCTGGCTAGGAATTCCAGGACTATGTTGAATAGGAGTGGGGAGAGTGGGCATCCTTGCCTTGTTCTTGACTTTAGGGAAAATGGATTCAGTTTTTTCCCATTAAGTATGATGTTGGCTATAGGTTTATCATATATAGCCTTTATAATATTGAGGTACATTCCTTCTATTCCTAGTTTTCTTAGAGCTTTTACCATAAAATAGTATTGAATCTTACCAAAGGCTTTTTCTGTAACTATTGAGACGATCAAGTGTGGTTTATGTCTTTGCTTCTATTAATATGCTGTATTACATTTATAGATTTGCATATGTTGAACCTAGCTGCATCTCTGGGATGAAGCCGACTTGCTCTTGGTGAATAATCTTTCTGATATGTTGTTGGATTCAGTTTGTCATTATTTTATTGAGGAATTTTATGTCAATATTCATTAAAGAGATTGGCCTATAGTTCTCCTTTTTGGATGTGTCTTTGTCTAGTTTTGGGATTAGTGTAATACTGGCTTCATAGAATGAGTTACGCAGTGTTCCTTCCTTTCTATTTCATGGAAAAGTTTAAGAAGAGTTGGTATTAGTTTTTCCTTAAAGGTCTGGTAAAATTCAGCAGAGAATCCACCAGGTTCTGGACTTTTCTTTTTTGGGAGGCTCTTTATTGCTGCTTCAATTTCATTATATGTTATAGTCCTGTTTAGGTGATTAATATCCTCCAGGCTCAGTTTTGGATGGTCATAAGTATCTAAAAATTTGTCCATTTCTTCAAGATTTTCCAATTTATTGGAATATAGGTTCTCAGAGCAGTCTCTGATGATTTTCTTGGTATTTGTTGTTATCCCCCCCCTTTTTCATTTCTGATTTTACTAGTTTGGGTCTTTTTCCTCCTCATTTTAGTCAGATTTGTCAGGCACTTGTCAACCTTGCTTACTTTTTTCAAAGAACCAGCTTTTTGTTTTGTTGATTGTTTGTATGGTTTTTTGGGTCTCATTTCATTATTTTTTGGCCCTTATTTTTATTTTCTTCTTCTGCTTTATTTGGGTTTTGCTTATTCTTGTTTTTCTAGGAATTTGAGATGTAGTATTAGGTTATTTACTGGAGGTCTTTCTGTCCATTTAATATATGCAGTCATGGCTATAAACTTGCCTCTTAGGATTGCCTTTGCTGTGTCACATAGGTTCTGGTAGGTGGTATTTTCATTTTCATTAGCTCCAGGGACCTTTTGATTTCCTCTCTTATTTCTTCCGTGACCCACTGATAGTTGAGCAATATGTTATTTAGTCTCCAATTATTTGCATATTTTCTGCTATTGCTTTTGTTGTTGAGTTCTAGTTTTAATGCATTGTGATCAGATAGAATGGAGGGGTTATTTCTGTTTTCTTGCTGAGGCTTGCTTTGTGCCCTAAGATATGATGTGTTTTGGAGAAACTTCCCTGGGCTGCTGAGAGGAATGTATATTGTGCTGTTGTCGGATGAAATATCTGTAGACATCAGTTAGGTCCCAGTTGGTCTTAAACTCACAACCCTCCTACCTCAGCCTCCAGAATACTTGGATTTCAGGTATGCATCACCATGATGCCTGGTTTGTGCTTATTTTAAAAAATTGTAGTAAAAGTATAGTTTTAGTAATGTACTTTTAAAATATGGTACTGAAAATTGTATATCCGTTGTATCCCTCTGGCACTCTCATGTTGAAAATATAAAATAAAAAAGGAAAACAATCATAAAACAACTAACCGTTTATTGTTTTTCAGGTATACATATGGGAAGCCAGTGAAAGGAGATATAATGCTTACATTTTTACCTCTGTCGTTTTGGGGAGAGAAGAAAAATATTACAAAAAAATTTAAGGTAACTTTTGCAGATATTTTATCACTGGTGGTGGGGAAAATTTAAACTTTTTTGTTTCTAGAAACAAGATCTTATACTGAACTAACAAAAGTGGACTATCAGAAAATGAAGAGCTTTCCAAAAGCATTGGAAAAGTGAGAATGTACCCACTTATAGTGATTAAAATGCAGTCAGAGCATTTTATTGTTGTGAGTTTTATTTCTAGTGTTTGAATTCCTAAAATGAAAAATATAATTGAACTTTGAAACAAAACAGATAAATGGATCTGCAAACTTCTTTTTTAATGATGAAGAGATGAAAAAGGTAATAGATTTTTCAGATGGGCATTCTGAACACATGGATTTGTCTATCCCTGGGCCAATAGAAATTGTAGCCACAGTGACAGAATTACTTTGAAGTGAATGTAAAGCTGTCTATGTGCTGCTCCTCTGTCATCTCTCTCATTGTAACTAGCACTTTCCTTTGAGGTATTTGTTGCTTTTCTAAAGATGTTAATGAATATTGAAATTATCACAACTATTAATTAGTTTAACTTTTAGGACTCTCATAATAAAAGTGAAACTTATTTTCTTTGCAAGTTTGTACTTCAATCATGTGATAGCTATTTGCAATACTTTCCATTTCTACTCTTTTCTTTATTTTTCAGCCTGAAACCACAAGATAAGCTATCTTCCTTCTTTCTCTTTCTTTCTTTCTTTCTTTCTTTCTTTCTCTCTCTCTCTCTCTCTCTGTGTCTCTCTCTTTCTTCCTTTGTTCCTTCCTTTCTCTCTCTTCTTCTCTCTTTTCCTCCCTCCTCTTCCTCCCTCTCTTCCCTCTCTCCCTTTCTTTCTTTTTCTCTGTTTTTCCTTCTTCTTCCTTTTTAAAAATCACTTAGTCTGACATCTTAACTAAATAGTTTTCTCCTTTAATAATAAAATAAGAGCTAGGGGTGTGACTCAAGTGGAAGAGCTTCTGCCTAGCAGGTTCAAGGACCTGAGTTCAAACCCAGTACTGGAAAAAAGATTAATTATTAGAACCTGTCAGTATTTCAACAAGTTTAACCAATTACTGAGTAAACAAAGTACCATTCTCTCAGTAGCTCTAGTTTGCTGACGTTCATGTCACTGATGGAGTAGTAGGGGTGTTTAGGAGTCCGTAAAGAACATAATAGAACGATGTGGTTCTTTTAGTGTCAAAGCCAATATGGAAACAAGGCTTGTATCCTCTAATTTCTTAATCCCCTCAAACCCATTTGGCAAGTAGCATATATGGAGAAATTGGGTGGATAGAAATTGTGGCGAAATAATATTTTTGCATTCCAAATTGTGCAATTCTCCAAATAGGTGTCTCAAGAAATGCAAATGCCAATGTGTTTTTCAAGCAGCATGATTATATCATTGAATTTTTTGATTATTCTATTGTTTTGAAGCCATCTCTCAACTTCACAGCCACTGTAAGTTGGTATATTTATTACAAGGCTGTAGTAATAAGTTCAATTCAATGAAAGGGAAATAATATTTTACATGTTTATTTAAAAATTTAACCCAAAAAGTAGATAATTATTTTTCCTCTTTAGATGTGTGAGACACATAGAATTGTTTACAAATGGCCTTTGTCTAATATTATTTTTTTAAAGTAGGTCCTAACAACAACAAAAATATTTTCCTGAAAATTTATTTAATAAGTAATGTGGATTTATTCATTGAGGATTTTATTAATGGGCAATCATAAACTTACTTTAAACTTGATTTTAGAATGAGTAATTTTAGCTGTAGCAAAGATATAGTATTCAAAATTATCAAACAAATATACTCTTTTTTGTTCAGAGACTGTTGAAGTAATATTACCTGAGTAAATTTTGATGGTATACAAGACATGGTGCTAGGCTGGGCTTGAAAAGCTAAGAAAGACCCAGTCCCTAGCCTGAAGTTCACAGTTTTTGTGATGGTGCCAAGAAACTAAGCATAGAAGTACAGTTCCAGGCAATGTAATATTAGGATCATGAATTAATTTCTATAGGGATTTAAAGCAGGGACTGGTATACTTTTTCTACATAGCATTGGACACTAAATATTTTCTGCTTTGTAAGCCATATGGTCTCTTGTCACAGCTACTCAACTCTGCCATTTTATAAACAAAAGAGAGTGGCTATGTTCCAACTAAACGTTACTTATAGAAATAATGGATTGGCATGCCTGCTTGCTAGTCAATCCTTGATTTAAAGAAAGTAAGGGGGTCTCTTCTTCTTGAATATATGAAGAAAAGTTTTAGGTAGTTCCTGATTTTAATGACCTTGGTAACATAGATAGTTTGAAAGGCAAGTAAAAAACTGTGAAGCTGCAAATGATCATTTCCAAATGAGTAGAGTGGAACAATGGGAGTTCACTGAGGGAGCACTGGTTTGGGGATGGGTGGGGGTTATTAAGGGATGTTTTATGGGAAAGGAAGCTCTAAATGATGTATTTCAAGATTGTTAGTGTTTTAAATGTTTGGACATGGCAGTGGGAGGTAGAGAGTAAGATGAGCTGAAAGAGCGGGAGCTCTGGTTCGCAAGATCAGGGCATATTCATACAATAGTGACTGGACAAGAGGGTTGTGTCTGGGAGTGGGAAAACAGTAGGAAAACCTGGGGTTTAAACTTTGTCCTGTGGGCAGTGAGAAACCTAGAAGACTTATGAACATGGGTGGGATAAGGCGAGAGTCTTCTAGAAAGCCTGAGCAGGGCTATGTGCAGCCCAGGTGTGAGGCCAGGAAGAGCCTTGTTGATGGTAGTTGTGCTTGTAGAGAGGAGGGAGCAGAAAAAATATGGGACTTGGTGTTTGAGAAGTGGGAGAGTGAGGGAAAATTCAGAGATAGTAAGACTGGAAGAATTGTGTGTCAGCTGGGTGCTGCTGGCTCACATCTGTAATCCTAGCTACTCAGAAGGCAGAGATCAGGAGGATTGTGGTTCGAAGCCATCTTGGGGCAAGTGCATCATGAGACCCTATGTTGAAAAAAGCCCAACACAAAACAGGGCTGGTGGAGTGGCTCAAGTAGTAGAGCACCTGCCTTATAAATGTGAGGCCCTGAGTTCAACCACAGTGCTGCTAAAAAAAAAAAAAAGGAAAGAAAAATAGGGGGTAGGAAGCAGTTTGGGTTATAATAACACATATAGATTGAAGTGTTATGGTGAAACTCTCTGTATAGCTATCTTAAGCAAAAAAAGTATCTTGTTCTTTTTTGAACAAAACATTCTTTATTTAAAATTATCTTTTTTACACTTGTCTGTAAGGTAAAAGTCCAATTTTGTAAACATGGCAAAGTCAAATCCTCACAGTCTGGCCCCTATATTCTTCTCTTAATTCATCTCCAGACATCTCTTGTCTATATTTACAATGTCACTATACTTCTCATAATTCCAAATATACAAGAAGCAAAATCCAGAAAAGTTGTAGACTTACGGTTGTATAGATTAAGTAGTTAACATCATCAGAGATTTGATGAGATACCTCCCTTTTTTCAAAAATGAGAGAAAGCAGGTAAACAGGTCTTGTCTGGGGGTTGGTACTAGTGGCAGGGTGGAGGATATGAGGAAAGGAATAGGAGGGTGAGTGTAGTGAAAATGTTATGTACACATGTATGTAAATGGAAAAATGAGACCTGTTGAAACTATTTCAGCAATAGTTGGGGAGATAAACAAGAATGATGGAGGGGGTGAATTCAACTATGATATATTATAGTAAGAACGTTTGTAAATGTCAGAATGTACCCCCAGGAAAACAATATAATAATAATAATAATAATAATAAAGATTATGTCAGTTAAAAACAGGAAAGGCAAAATGGTTGCTCATTCTTAGATGTGTTGAATTTGAGGTGACTGGGCATCCAAGTAGAAATTTCCTACAGAGAAATGGAACTTTAGAAATTATGAGCTCCAGAGCAAGGTGAGGTGGGGATTTTAGATTTGGGTCTAAACACAAATAGATGTCAAGTGAAGCCATAGGAATGCTGAGACCTTTGAGGAAGGGTAAAGAATAGACAATTGAATATATGACCTTGACAAATTCCCACATTTAGAGGGAGTTTAGAGTGGGAAGGTGACCCAAAAGGGACACTGAGAGGTATGAAGTTGAAGGAGGTTGTTGTGGAGCTGGGGAAGATGAGGAAGCCATAGAACTAAAAGGCGAGACTGTGGGTCAGACACCTCCTAGAGAAGGGTCACTGAATCTGGAAAGTAGTTCGGTTTCTGGAATATAACGGGAAACTGGATTCAATTGAACTTAAGTCCTTGCTTTTCTTGTTCCCTGTTTTAAAAATATCTTGTTTTGACAATTAGGTCAAGGCCACCCGTTCTGATACCAATCGACTGACTCCTGAAGAAAGAAACAATAATGTAGTAATAGCAGTGACACAGAGGAACATACCAGTTCCTGGACCAGGTGGAGCAGTGGAAATCAGGAACAGAAAATGCCAGACCTTAACTATACTGTCCCCCAAAATGGGATCTTCAAGATTATTTCCAATTCTGGACGATTCCAGTGAGCTGCAATGAAGGTGCCGTCTGCTTCCCATCACTATGTCACTGCAGCACCTTTTACAGTTCTAGTTTCGCGGCGTAGCACTCAACCTGTCAGAGGAGCTCAGAGTCCAAGAGATAGACATTTTTCATCTTTTTTGAAAATAAGAGAAAATGGTAGAAGTGCATAAGACAGTGAGGAGGGTTACTCTGAATGTTACTTTACCTTGATTTGGAGGAACACAGAAGAACATGCAATATGAAGTACGTGAATGTCCTGCAACCTCATTTAGTGACTTTTCAGTCATTTGAAATTTTATTTTGG